GACCCCACCAACATCCAGTTCTCGAACCAGCGACCTTCTTGCTGTGAGGCGATCGGGCTACCCACCGTGTCACCATGACGCCTTTTTACTTTTGTTTTGCTGTTAAATTAAATATACTGTGATTACATTTTTACTGGTTATAGGCAGATTTACTCCTCTTCCTCTCATTCCTTCCCTTCCTCTAACTGAGACATAGCCTTTCATATTTATTGAAGACAGCTAAACTCAACCATTTCTTCGTAAACAAACAGTTAAATGATCAGTAGCTAATATGTTTTGTTTATAATTATTATTATTATTATTTACAAAAGAAAAAAAATAATATACATTAGCAGCAAATAAATTAACAAACAGTTTAGATAATTAAAATTGATAGCTATTATAAAAAATTACAATCAAGTTATTGGATCTCATTAACCCTTTTTTCACTAACTTAAACAAAAGATACACTTGAGTCGGAGCGTCAGTATTAAGCAACACCTTTTCTTTTCTGCTTTTGTCAAAACTGCTCAGAACCATCTAAACATACATCCGTACTACGTACAGAGTCCCGATTGATTCAAATAAAAATGCAAACATCAATATATCACAAGTCTGTTCTGTGGTTTTGTTTTATTTAGTCATGAAAACACTTTGAAATAAATATAAAAATGGCGGGATTCCCTTGGCTTTTCATTACAGGTGTCATCGCCCCTTCATGCAATCCTCAAAACATAGGCTGCGTTCATAAAATCATACAGCTGTGCGTGACTGTCAGCTGACATGCTTCATAGTGATAATAGACGCTGTTTGCCAAACGGATTCTGTACTTGCAATTTGAAGCAGAGAGAAATTAGCAGACGCTTTTATCCAAAGTGACTTACAAATGAGGACAAGGAAGCAATTTACACAACTATAAGAGCAACAATGAATAAGTGCTATAGGTAAGTTTCAGGTCTGTAAAGTCTAAAAAGGAAAGCATTAAAAATTATTGTTATTATTTATTTTGAGTACAGTTAGTGGTATATCTAGGGAGGCAATTGCAGATTAGGAAGTGAAGTGGAGACTAAATAGTTGAGTTTTTAGTCGTTTCTTGAAAACAGCAAGTGACTCTGCCGTTCTGATGCAGTTAGGGAGTTCATTTCACCAACTGGGCAGATTGAAAGCGAGCGTTTGGGAAAGTGATTTCTTACCTCTTTGGGATGGAACAACGAGGCAACGTTCATTCACAGAACGCAAGTTTCTGGAGGGCACATAGATCTGCAGAAGTGAGAGCAGATAAGAAGGAGCAAAGCCAGAAGTCGCTTTGTAGGCAAACATCAGAGCTTTGAATTTGATGCGAGCAGCAATTGGCAGCCAGTGCAAACGGATGAGCAGCGGAGTGACACGTGCTCTTTAAGGTTCATTAAAGACCACTCGTGCTGCTGCGTTCTGGAGCTGCTGAAGAGGCTTGATATAGTTAGCTGGAAGCCCCGCTAGTAGAGAGTTGCAGTAATCCAGTCTGGAGAGAGCAAGAGCTTGAACAAGGAGTTGAGCAGGATGGACGATCGAGCAATTCTAGAAATGTGGTCAGAGAAGTTTAGTTGGTCATCAATCGTTACTCCAAGGCTTTTCACCATTTTGGATGCAGTAATGGTTGCCCCATCCATCTGGATTAAAAAGTTATGGTGTAGAGTCGGGTTGGCAGAAACTACAAGCATTTCCGTTTTCGCGAGGTTAAGCTGAAGATGATGATCTTTTATCCAGTGTGAAATGTCCAACAGGCAGGCTGAGATGTGAGCTGGAACCGAGGGATCATCAGGGTGAAAAGAGAGGTATAGCTGGGTATCATCAGCATAGCAGTGGTAGGAGAATCCATGTCTCTGGATGACTGGTCCTAGAGATGTTGTGTAGATGGAGAAGAGAAGTGGCCCAAGAACAGAGCCTTGAGGTACCCCAGTGTTTAGATGCTGTAGGTTGGACACCTCTCCCCTCCAAGACACCCTGAATGACCTGTCAGAGAGGTAAGATCTGAACCATTGTATAACAGTGCCCGCAACGCCCAGTGCCTCAAGCGTAGATAGCAGGATCTGGTGGTTTACAGTGTCAAAAGCAGCTGACAAATCCAGCAAGATGAGGACTGATGATTTAGAGTCTGCTTTAGCCAGTCTGAGATCCTCCACGACCGAGAACAGGGCAGTCTCAGTTGAGTGGCCTTTCTTAAAGCCGGATTGCTTGTTGTCCATGAGGTTGTTTTGAGTAAGAAAGTCCAGGACTTGATTGAACACTACTTTCTCCAGAATCTTGGCCATGAATGGAAGCAGGGATACCGGTCTATAGTTTTCAAGTAGAGTATGGTCCAGGTTGGGTTTCTTTAGCAGTGGGGTTACCCTGCTTAAATGAAGTTGGGAATAAACCAGAGTCAAGAGATGTGTTAATTATGTGAGTCAGTGTTGGTATGACTGCAGGAGAGATGGCTTGCAAGAGATGAGAGGGAATGGGATCAAGTGGACAGGTGGTTGCATGGCTAGATAGCACGAGTTTGGACACCTCAGACTCAGAGAGCTGAGAAAAAGAGGTGAGTGTGTGTGGTGTTGGTGGTGTATCTTGCGTGTTAGTTGTAGGTGCAGCAAATTGAGCACTGATTTTTGCAGTTTTGGCGCAAAAGAATGAAGCAAAGTCATCAGTATTAAGTGTGGAGGATGCGGGTGGAGGAGGAGGATAGAGGGAGGAAAATGTTTTAAAAAGTAGGCGAGGATTAGTGGCATTGTTGATTTTCAGACGGTAATATGTCTGCTTTGCAGAAGTAACCTCAGCTGAGAAAGAGGACAGAAGAGTTTGGTATGTTAAGAGCTGTGCAGGATTTTTAGTTTTCCGGGCAAATTCTCTCTGCAGCCCGAAGTTTTGAGCAATGCTCACGGAGAGCATCCGAGAGCCAGGGTGCAGGAAGACTGGCACGGGTTGGCCTGGATGTAAGAGGACATAATCTGTCTAGACATGATGCTAGTGTGGAGCAGAGTGTATCAGTGGCACTGTTCGTATCGAGTGCAGAGAGTTTGCAAGATGGAGGAAGAGAGTCTGAAACAATGGTGGATAGTCTATTGGGTGAGAGAAAGCGTAGGTTTCTGCGAAAGGCAACCAGTGTTGGAGTGTGTGGTGGCTCAGGAGTAATGTGGATGTTGAGAGACAGAAGCAAATGATCCGATATTTGTAGTGGAGATACTAGTGTTTGATCAGCGAAGCAATGTCGTGTGTAAATAAGGTCCAGCTGATTACCTGATTTGTGAGTAGCAGAAGTAGGTGCTCTTTTGAGGTCAAAAAAGGCAAGCAGAGTCTTAAAGTCAGCAGCTTGAGGTCTTTCAATGTGAATGTTGAAGTCACCTAGCACCAACAAGGGAGTGTCATAATTAGAAAAAGATGAGAGAAGAACATCCAGTTCATCTAAGAAGTGACATAATGTACCTGGTGAACGGTAGATGACAACCACATTTATGTAGAAGGGGTGGATAATGGTGACTGCATGGAATTCATAGGAGCTGATTGTTGGCAGGGACAGTCTCTGAGTGAATTTCCATTCTTTGGAAATCAGTAGTAAAATCCCACCCCCTCTCCCTGTCTGATGAGGAGTGTGGGAAAAAGAGAAATTAGCAGAAAGAGCTGCATGTGTAGCAGTGTCCTCCGACCTCAACCAGGTCTCAGTTAGAGCCATGAGATTATATTCAGAATATGTAGCTATGGAGGTAATAAAATCTGCCTTGTTAACAGCTGATTGACAAATCCAGAGGCTCACGGAGAGAGAAAGTTGTGAAATAGCAGATACATGTATTGAACTAAGGTTGTGAGGATTAAGCCTGCAGCGTACCTCCCGTGCTTTGCGAGTGTTAGTAACAACAGGAATTAGTAAACACATAATAAAAGTGCAATGAAAACAAAAATAGGTGTAGAGATAAAGTAAAATAAGAAAGTAAAGTACTCAAGTGCTTTGTCGGTGTCTTTGCTCGGTGGAGTCGCACAGGTAGAGTCGATGGCGCAGGTAGAGTCGATGGCGTAGGGAGAGTCGATGGCGAAGGTAGAGTCGATGGTCTTTACACTCGTTGGTCTTTACACGAGGCGGTCTTCACACGAGGCTGCCACGACCGCTGCCGCGGTGAGACTAGTTGCTTATATACACCCCAGAGCACTAGCTGATTGAATTCAGCTGGACACGCATCGAGAGTAAAACAACGCCCGAAACTGCGGCGGACGACGCAAAACCGTCCGCGTTCGACACACAGTTAGGAAAGCAATTGAATGCTTTCATTATAACAGTAGATGTGTGCATTTTAAAGTGACACTTTGGGGGATGTTGGGGGGCTGGAGGATATCCCTTATTATGGTGGCCATATCCCTTAACCCAATGTTGACAGGTATGTGTTATTATTATTTATTATGTGCATATGTCTGTTCAAACATGCACCTAGAACCCAGACTTTCGCTCTGCTTCAAATCGTGTGTACAGAATCCGTTTCTATTTATCACTATGGAGCGTGTCAGCTGACAGTCAAGCATCACTATAGCTATGATTGTTTTGAAGACTGCATAGGAGGAGCGACGGAACCTGTAATTAAAAAGAAAGTAATCTGCTGAGGCGGGGTTCATCAACTCCCTGCAGCAGCCTGCAGGCATAGGATGGGTGATCATAAGAGAGAGGTCTGTATGCGAACTTGGTGCAGTTGCAAGGTGCATTCAGGGCTCTTTAATGCACGCACCTAAACCCACACCTACGGTGGCCGGGAAGTGCAAAACAACATTACAAAGTGTGAAACACTTTTACAAAGCTCGAGACAAATTTACATTTTGGAAAACATTTTTACTTATCATAAGACACATTTACATAGGAAAAACGATTTTACCAAGGACGAAACAAATTTACATTTTTGAAAAAAAAATTTACAAGACGCAAAACACTTTTACAAATCCTGAAACAAATTTACAATTACAGATTCCCTACGGAAAGGGAATATACCATCTACCGGAAGTGACGCGGAATGTACCACACACCGGAAGTGACGAGTGAAGTGTTGTCGTTGGTGGTGAGAGCGGTTAATTCGTGTTGTGGAGCAATTGAAGTTTATGGTGGCCGAATAAAAACTGCGGTCGAGGGATGTTTTGCCCGTTTTGTGGCAAACACATGAGTACTCTAACGCGGTTTTGTTTTACGTGCGGTCGATGTTTAGAGTTTTTAAAGGACGCAGACCAGACGGAAACATTGGACACAGTGCATCAATGTGTTCAATATTTCAACGAGGGCCACTCGTACGCTGTAATTGTGGACATGATGTCAAGTCTACACGGTGTGAACATCTGCTTAAGGACTCTTAAAAGTAAACTGAACGAAGTCGGTTTGTACCGCAGAAAGGATTATTCTTCTCCAAACTGCGTGAGTAACGCCATCAGATTGGAACTTCGTGGACCTGGACAACTATTTGGCTACCGCACGATGTGGCAGGTACTTAAACAAAAGTACAAAATTCGAGTGAAGAGAGATGATGTGATGAATTTGCTCCGGGAGCTCAATCCCCGAGGGTGTGAGAGCAGAACACGCAGAAGGTTTATAAGAAGAACCTACCATTCAATGGGACCTAACTATATGTGGCACGCAGATGGTTATGATAAACTTAAGCCGTTCGGTATGGCCATATCGGGGTGCATAGATGGATTTTCACGTAAAGTACTGTGGCTTGAAAGTGGAGTAACAAATAATAACCCAACAGTGATTGCTCGCTATTTCATGTCGTGTGTGCGAAAGCTCGGTGTCATCCCCATGAGACTGAGGACTGATTGCGGCACTGAGAACGGTATAATGGCTGCAATTCAATGTACGCTACGCCACCATCACAGTGATTACTACGCCGGCGCTTCCAGCCACATGTACGGCTCGTCAATAAATAACCAACGTATTGAGTCCTGGTGGTCTATATTTAGAAAGGGAAGGTGAGTGGTCTTCACTGTTCTTAAAGGCTCATTGTATTTTTTGGTCATAACATTTTCTTCTCAGGAACGAGTTGTGAAAAACAAAAACAAAAAAACGAGTACAATAAGTTTCAATACAGTACAACATGTAAAACAAATACAGCCCCTCAGTAAAAGCAGTTGTTCCTGAAAAGAAAATCGAATGACCAAAAAATGCAGACCATACATTATTACTAATTATTGAATTTATTATTTAAACATATATGCTTAAAATGTTACTTCAATTTGTATAAATTTCTATAGGTCTCAGTTCTGGATGGAGTTATTTGCAGACCTTAGAGAAGCTGGATACTTCAACGGGAGTCATGAGCATCAGTGCCTATTGAGATATTGCTTTGGGGATGTTATTCAGAAGGACTTGGATGAGTGTGCGAGGTTGTGGAACAGTCACAGGATTCGTCGATCCAGAACAGCAGCATGTCCAGGAGGAGTGCCCAATGAACTCTACTACTTACCACACAGGTGATACATTAGTATTAAGATAAAAGATAAAAGCAATATTCTAATGTTTTAGCTTAAATGAAAAAAAAAAAATCCTTAAGTTTTCTATTTAACATAGGTTTGGCTCCAGAGACTGTGGATTTCAGATCGAACCGGCTGAACTGGATGTCCTTCCTGAGGCTAGCCTGTCAGTGACTCCTTGTGGGGACCCAAACATGCAGGAGTACTTGGACTTTGCTATGGAACACAATCAGTTACAGAAGCCAGAAAACTGGGAATCTGCATCAGAACTGTACATGAAACTAAAAGAAATGGCTCAGCTATGAAATTATCAAAAAAGGAGGGGTATTGTGGTGGTGGAATACTGCTGTCTGTCTAAACACAATTTTTATGTATGTCACCCACAGCTTAATTGTTTTTTTTTAAAAGTGAAGTAAATAAACCAAAAATAGTAACAATAATTTATTAATTTTCTGTAGTATATAAAACAAAACTTATTGAACTACTTGGTTTTTTTTTTAAAATCTTTTTTCCTTCTGTGCTTTACAAAGGGATTCCAGTTTAAGAGTCACAAAACTAGAACATTTTCCATAAATTGACATGAGAAAATTTTCCTCACCTACTTTTACTTTATAAAAAAACTATTTTGGCAACTGCACTTTAAAGTGAACATTAAAACAACATTTTCAGTCTTAACTCTAGGGTCTTCCATCATTTAGCTTAAAAACAGCCAAATCCTGGACTATTTTGAATTCCAAAGTCCATTTGTGACTTAAACAAATTGTAGGAGTCAAGGAGTGGTAATTTCAAGGTGTTTGCACATGTATTTGCCATTGGCAATGCAGAGTTATCCAGGAACTGTATTTTTGGCGGTGGTTCCAAGCCAGATGGGGGAAGTGAAGACAGCCCAGTAGCAAACATCAAAACACCTTCCACAGACACAGCAGCCTGGCCTTCTGCAAAAAAACAAGAACAATTCAGACACATAATTAGGGGTTTAAGCACAATTAGTCTTGGTCTTTTTTTTCCTTCTGTGATTTAGGTAGTTAAATGATTGCTAAATAAAACACAGTCTTTTGATGCTTATTCAACTAAAGGCCAGATATGCTTGAACCCTGATAAATGTGAAATTTAACTTCAATGTGTGTTTTTTTTTATAACTAGTCAAGAAAACACATGGCAGTTAAATTACACATTTATCAGGGGGTAAATAACAAACCTTCACAATCAAGGAGATAGTCTGCCCAGTAGCCCATGGTTTGATTTTCTTTAAGTCTTCGATTACTCCCCGGAGGACTGAGGTCGGGTTTGAAGAGTATCTCAAGGTCAAAAGCAGTAAGGGGCTTTTCAGAGTGGCACAAGACAGGGGTCAGCAAAGTAGGGTGTTGCTGTAGTGCAGTCAAAAACTCCAGAGTTGAAAGACCCTCCCGGAATCTAGAGAGTGAACACAACATTGCTTCACTGCTGTATATGCTGTATATTGACAATGAGCTCTATGCACAGCAAGAGTTTTAAACCCAATGATAAACTTCCAGTAAATTCTTAAATGTGACTATTTTCAATTTCACAAGGTTGTTTTACAGCATTGATCTTGTAATGTAACTACAATACATTCAGTTATATAGACTTCAGCATTTATTTTGTTCAAGCGTGAAAAGAGGTAAAAGAGCGTTATAACCATTAATGCGGTCATTAGCAACAGGCTGGCGCAGAAATTCCATTGAAAATACTGGGGTAAAATAAACTGCCATATTTTAAAGTCATGGTGGGGGGAAATGGAATTTAATGCAGTGCTTCTTGTACGATCCGAGACCCACTTCATAACATATATCTGATAGGCAGTGAAGATCGCTGATTTTTAAAGAAATCAGATCTTAAACGTGACAATTTTGTAATTGAAAGAGTTCACCGGAAGCTGTTGGGCTGCCTGGCTGAAAATTAAAAGTCTGTGTGTTTCTCTACAATTACTAATCCACCTTAACAAACGTACATTTGGGAGGGGAAACATGGTTGTGTTGAAAAATGATTTAAAGAACCCTATTTTCACATTACACTTTAAAAGTTAACTGTTACAAACAAAGTATTACATAGAAATAGAAGATGGGATAACACAGACAGCTGGGTGGCTTGAGCACTACACACCAAATGCACTTTTTCAAAACTTTGTTGTTATAATTTAGATTAAATTCAGATTTAAAATATAAGTTCAAACTTTTCCCTCATCAGTATATTCACAATATGTCAATGACAAGAAGAAAGTTAAGAAATTATAACCAATATAATAATAATAATAAGAAAATAATGTGATAAAGACAATCTCATCACTACAAATATCATCTTACCTGTCAATTACAGATGCGTTGCGGTCAATAACATACCATTTGAGGTAGTCTGAAACTATTTCTCTCTTTTCCTCCACAGTAGCCACTTGTCTCAGACAACCTGCTGTCTGTAACATTGTGCTGTGTCTCATCATACATTCGTGCAGAGAATCCAATGAAGCAGCATTCTCAATCTGAAACAAATGAAAAGGGCCATAAACACCCCAGTCAATAACTAAGCACTGTAACTCTTTGCCTATTTTTTAATGAGATACATACACAGCATAGTGTATATAGTGGATATAGCAAGTAAACACTGTCTCAAATCACTGCAGAAACTATAAGAAAATCTGCCCCACCATACTGTAGCCTTACACTATTCTCACCTCTTGCAAAGCTTTACTTATTTCTGCATCAGTTATTACATTAATTGGTGCTTTGAATGAAGGCTGGCCTGCAAGGTAATGTACAAGATCTTTTGATAGGAAATGGGGTCCTGGACCTCCATGCACAACTGACACAGCAATCATCTTTCCTGCCAGGTAGTATTCATCCTCCCTAACAGCTGTAAATAAAGTCATATTGCAAAACAAACAATGGATTATATACTGTTATATAAACGCATTTGTCATGTGATATATATGGTCAATGACCATTAACCAACCATTAAGTTGCCTACAGTACACATCTAACCCATTTGCATACCGTTTGCATTGTAGGCCAAGAATCGATGTCCTTCTGGTCCATCAAAAATGGGCCGGTCTTTAAGGTGTTTCATTAATAGAGTTAAAAACTCTCGTCTTGGACCTCCAGTGTCAAGTCCCTCCTCCAGAACACCAGTATCATCCGTAAATTTGACCAGCATGTCACAGGTTTCAGAATATGTTGTACGCTTGAAACCTCTGACAGCCCCATCCCAAACATTAGCCCTTGAGATGTTGAACCGGCTGACCATTTTATGATCAATAGGAAGTGACAGGTTTGCTACAATGTCAGGTAATGTAATGTCCGTCTCCTCCCTGTAATGACAAAAAGTGACTTTATTTGTGTATATTCCAGATATACCAGAAATATTGTACAGTGAAAAAACAGGAGTGCTATAGTAAAAGTCTGTCATATTACATTGCTGTGTGTTGGAAATTATTCCCATTGACAGCAACTGGCTCTTCGTCTTCTTGCTCAACATTTGGTGAATATAGGTCTGTGTATTTACTGTTGGGAATTTATTATTTTCATGTTAAAACATCTTATAAACCAAAATGTCCTCCTCGTATAATCAGTAAAATAAATTTCAATTATGTCAGCCATTATGATTTTTTTTTTTTACCTGTAGCAAGAAGTATTTTCTGGACCCGTTTCAGGTGGATCCAGATCCTCATCATCAGATATCGTTATCTGAAAAAAAAAAAGTTTAAAATGTCTGAAACAAATGAAAGACTAAAACACTGAAAGCAAGAAATGTCATGATGCCAGTCTGCCTTATTACCTGTCCTGGCTGAATTGTTGATGAATGTCTAGGAGCATCTCTGAAACATTATAAAAATTATTAGCTCTATGATAAAGGCTATAATGTAGTTTTGAGTAAAATGTAATAGTTAATGTAAAAAAAAAAAAAAAAAAAGACGAAAAAAAAATTGTTATACATGACATTACACAAATGGTATTTTCTGTTTCAAGTTCATCAGAGCAAAGTTCATCATGCAATTTGGCATCTAGGATTCATCTATGATTCAAACCGATAAAATTTACATTTATTAATTTGGCAGATGCTTTTATCCAAAATGACTTACAAGTAGTATGCAGTGGACAGATGTAACTGTAGAGTGAATGGGGTAAGGTGCCTTGCTCAAGTGCACTTAGGTCATGGGTTGCTGGCACCGAGAATCGAACCAGCAAACTTCTGCCTACAAGCCCAACTCTCTAACAACCAGACCTCAACTGTAATGAGAGGCAATGGGTCTTTTCTAGTGGCCAAGGTGTTCTGGGCTAGAGTGGGTGTTTTGGATATCTTAAAACCTACAGTCAAATCATGCAAACATCATGTAAGACACACCCAAGGTTCCTATTGGTTGACTAACACTAGAAAAAAAAAAATCTCTCATTACATCCCCCACTTCATTCTCACATGTTTTTTTATTGTTTTGATTAATTTTTCATTTGTGTTTATTCCTCTGCAAGAGCTTGTTGTTTTGTTTTTAGGACACACCAATAAGGTCTAGCAGGTAAATTAAGTAAAGCAGTTGTGGGTCCTTTAGGTAGGGTGTGAGGGGGCACCTCAGCCAGTTACAGAAACAGTCTGCAGCATGTAGCAACATGGAGCTTATGTGCAGTCTTGCTGTATTTCCAGCAAAACAAAAGTGGTAAAACATCTCTAAAACAGCAATATAAATGTAAAATGTGTATGTGAAAAAATAGTGAAATATCTGCTAGTACTTTTATCACAATTTTGCGAGTTAAATGAAAAGAAATTAAATTGCCCTTTGCCTGGTAGTGAAAGCCCTGTAGCCCAATAAGAAATGAGTTATTAGTATTATTTCCAGGAAAGAAGTAAAGAAAAATATTTTCAACCCATACATGCTAAAAGTTCCTACCTTTCATCTTCGAGTTTGGGAGTACTTTGATTTTGTGGTTCAAAAACCTAAAAGGAAACAGGTAAAATTATCAACAATTTTCAAAAGCTCCATTACTGTTCCATTACCACATACAGCATATATTAAAGCTGGATGGTTTCCTGTAATACTGTATAATAGTTACTGCCAAATAATCAAAACTAACATTTTTTCCAATAAATTGTTGACCAAGGCAAATATTTTATGTATAAAATCCAATGTAAATCTAATAAATAACTACAAACAAACATAAATTAAAAAAATAAATAACTGATGTACCAAAGTGTCAGCTTGATTAAATTCAGCTGTGCTCCTTGTTGTGATGACAATTTCAGAGTCGGAGTCCGAGTCTGAGGTATCATCCACTGAAAAAAATAAACCAAGCATTATCTATACTCCAGCAGTAAATATGCAAAAAAAAAAAAAAAATTGATTCATGAGATCCACCAACCTCTTTTATAGTGTTTTTCTAGACAAATGAAAAAAGTGATCCTGGCATATGCCTTTCCAATTTCCTTTTTATATTCTGACAATTTGAATGGCCTGTCTGATCCAGGCACATAGTCCACCTCTGAGCAGTCTGGATACAAAAGTACGTAAAGTCCTTCTGGCATGTCCTTGTTAAATGTTCTTATTTTGTCTACAGCATGTTTTAGCAGATCAGGTGCTGCTACGTCGGGGTCTGTAAATAAGGGAAGTGTTTTCCCCCTTAGAGGTTTTAAATCACTTCCATGTGGCACCATCACTCCTACATTTATCTAGTAAAATAACAAAGATATTTAATTAATGTAACGTTATACATGGGTAAAATAAATATACACATACACACATAAAGAGCATTACAAAATTGTATAGGATGGTCAGTACAACTTAACGTTACCTGGACTTGTTTTCTTTCTTTAGGCTTGTATCTTCCTTTTGGCCCATAGTTACAAGATTGCCGTTCATTTGACTTTAGGTTTCTGTACTCCATGAAACGTTTGTATGATGGGCATGGTTGTTCTGCTGAAAAGGACAGAGTTCCGTTTCAAAGCAGAAAGATATAAACCGCAAAAAAATCATTATTAGCACTAATGGTTTTATTCACATGGCTTCAGATAGCTAGCCTTTTGCTACACTAAAAATAAAAAATAACAACTTACCTTGCTTGGCACGGTCCGGCGGTCGAGACGTCCCAGGTGATTCCGTCTGGTCTGCATCCTTTAAAAACTCTAAACATCGACCGCACGTAAAACAAAACCGCGTTAGAGTACTCATGTGTTTGCCACAAAACGGGCAAAACATCCCTCGACCGCAGTTTTTATTCGGCCACCATAAACTTCAATTGCTCCACAACACGAATTAACCGCTCTCACCACCAACGACAACACTTCACTCGTCACTTCCGGTGTGTGGTACATTCCGCGTCACTTCCGGTAGATGGTATATTCCCTTTCCGTAGGGAATCTGTAATTGTAAATTTGTTTCAGGATTTGTAAAAGTGTTTTGCGTCTTGTAAATTTTTTTTTCAAAAATGTAAATTTGTTTCGTCCTTGGTAAAATCGTTTTTCCTATGTAAATGTGTCTTATGATAAGTAAAAATGTTTTCCAAAATGTAAATTTGTCTCGAGCTTTGTAAAAGTGTTTCACACTTTGTAATGTTGTTTTGCACTTCCCGGCCACCGTACACACCTACCCCTACCCCTCACAGTGATGTCACAAGCTCAATTGAGTGCATTGTGTCTGACATTGCAATTGAGATATGCAACCTCATCTTACAAATCCAAGTCTGCATACAGATTGGATCAAACCCTTTCCAGTACCAGGCTGAGACGAATTGCTCATTTCTTTTAAATATATTTTGAAGGGTGGAGCCGAACCCGAATACGGTATTCGGAAAGGCACGAATAGCGTGTTTTTACGAATACTTGATTCGAACAAATACTTGAAAAATTATTTGTATTCAGGAGCAAGAAAAACACTATCAAAAAGCAGCGTTTCCTCATGAGACCACAGTGCATGCCCACGTGAGTGAGAGAGAGAGAGAGAGAGAGAGAGAGAGAGAAAGAAAAAGAGAGGGAGAGAGAGACGCTCAGTAGTCGGAGGGCGGGGCGGAGATAAAATGTGTCAGGCACAAGCTTCTCCACAGCAACAGACAGAAGGCTCGGCTGAGCGAAAAAAATACTTCACTGCATCACTATTTTTGTTAAATAGATTTTTGTACCTTAATTGGGTTCCAAAGGCAGTTTATAAACTTGTAGCCGAGTTGAAGCGGAGTTTGATATTCTATTACATTATTGACGTCTGCAACCGGGTGCTCTGTTTACGCAATGTTAGCTCTGTTAGCGCGGTAATTTAGACAATAGACTGTTGACAGAGTAACGTTAACGTTCGTTTATAAAGGTTAAAACGATGCGTTTGCAGTTGTGTCGAATAGTTTGCACTTATGGGAGTTATATGGTACGTCTAAATTACTGTCTTTTGCAGACAGCAAGATATATGCTATAGGCTAGTTAACCTTAGCATAGCTTCTCGTCACTTTTTATTAACTTGAAACTCCTCAAATACATTCGTGCACCCAGAAAAAGAGTGAAAAAGACTTCACCAGTCAAAAGAAAAAAAAACCTTCAGGTTCTGTGTGGATGCATTTTACAGTCAGTGGAGCTGCAGATAAAACAAAGTGATACTGTATAATGTGTGCAAAAGTGAAATCAGCAGAGGCAGAGATATTAAACATCTGTCAACATCTTCTATCCATAATCATTCATTCATTTCTTTTCGGCTAAATCCCTTTATCAATCTGGGGTTGCCACAGTGGAATGAACCACCAACTTATCCAGCATATGTTTTACGCAGTGGCTGCCCTTCCAGCTGCTACCCAGCACTGGGAAACATCCATACACTCTCTTTCACACACATACAATAGGGACAATTTAGCTTACCCAATTTACCTGTATTGCATGTGTTTGGACTGTAAGGGGAAACCGGAGCACCCGGAGGAAACCCACGCCAACATGGGGAGAACCCACTCGGGGCTCGAACCAGCAACCTTCTTGCTGTCAGGCTACTCACTGAGCCACTGCGCAACCTTCTATGTAATGTATTATCACATGCACTAAAAGCATCCTCTCCTGATACTGTCTGTGAACCCCCCACAAGCATCAATCCCCTCAATCAGCACAGCTATGTTCTACTAAATCCTCCACAAGCACCAAACCATGAACACAGCCACATTCTGCCCCAGTAAGTCAGTTTCAAACATAAAAAAACAAACAAACAAACAAACTTTGTGTCTGTTTTGTGGCAGGCAGATGACAATAGCAGGGCTGTATCTTTTAGTATTATATAGAATACTTTTGTTTTGCCAGATCTCCCAGGCAGGGTTTTATTTAGATTTATTTAGTTAATATTAGTTTTTGGAATTCTGTCCATTGGAAAGAAGTTCTTTCAGAAGAAGAACAGTTTTTTGAAGTATTATTTGTTTTTATTCTGTCTATTCAGTGTCCTTCAACAAGAACGGTGGTGGTGGGGTTCATAATATTCACAATGGGATTTTATTAGTTGTTGGTTTAACCATGCATGAGATAATAGCTTCTATGTTATTTTCTTTTCAATTACATTTCTTGTCACATGTTCAAAAACAACAACCAATATTGCATGTCTATAATTTATATAATGGGTATAATTAAACAATACTTTTACTATAACGTAAATTAAAAGTGTAATAGAAAAAATATATACTTTTGCGCCATTTTGAATTTTACTCGAATACAAATACAAATACAAATACTTTTCCCCCCTCAACAAATACAAATACAAATACAAATACCGGCTGCTCCGCACATCCCAAATATATATATATATATATATATATATATATATATATATATATATATATATATATATATATATATATATATATATATATAAATATATATATATATATATATATATCGAAGCTATTTTGTCTGAAAGCTGAAACACAAATTTTAGGAACACCTAAACCTTCTAGTCTTTGAAAAAAATCAAAATCCTTCAAATCATACACACATCAGCCCAAAATATATTGAAACTTGAAATAAAAGCTTAAGAGCTGAAAATGTATGGAATTATTAAAAGTATAACAATTCAGTGATTGTGAATAACTCAGATCATCTCCATCCTTTGAAACAAGATTGATCAATTTGAAGTGTTTGTGTTTTACTTTTGCTGCTTGTGTTTACTTTGCAAAGTGAATGCATCATATAGCAAGTTTCATTGTATTTTAATGAGTGAGATTGTTTTAAGAGTTCTGCAAAAAAAGTGCAAGAGCTTCACACATTGTGCCTGAATGAACTTGTTCATGGGTTTGCAGAAATGACCTTTGCCACTTGCCAAAAAAAGGGATTAGGCCACTGAGGCTCTGGTTCATGGGGTTTAGTTTACAAGCAATTGTGAAAAACTGTAAGAGATTTGACATAACAGTCTTGAAAGATATTTTATATAACAGAAGTGCAAATCCACTCTTCCACTAAAAAACGATAATGTGTATTTGTGTATCCAAACAAACTTTTATGACACACATACAGAAAAAATCTTGTTATATTTTACATATTTCTTTAACATACATTTCAACATACTGTTTACAAAGTAAAAAATAAAAATTAATGTCAAAAGTATATTTAAATAAAATATTTTCTACAAATACTTTTTCATTATTTTATTTTTGAGAAAGTCTTATTTATTTATTTTTTTTGTTTGGTTGGAATAAAAAAAACTGCTGAGGTATGATTAGCCCCCTTAAAAACATATTTTTCTGATTGGCCACAAAACTGTTGTCCAATGACTTGCCTATTTAACCTAACCTTTTTAGTTAACCCAACATATTTAAGGTATTACATTGCAATTCAAGCTGAATATCCTGCAGAATAATTGAATTATTATGTACAGTCATCATGCAAATAATGATAAAAATCTTCAAAAATGTTTTCTAGATTAAACAGCACTTCTTAAATATTTGAAAAAAAAGTGTCTAAAACTAATATTTAGAGGTGAGTTAGATCTGTGCAAACCAATCTGGAAGCTTTAATAACAACAGGCAGAAGTCGATAAGTTACAAACAGAGCTAGACAAAAAGGCATAGGTTGGATCAGCAACAAACAATGTCCTCAGGGCAAGACAAATGGGGAATCTATAGTCAGCCAATGGTCAGGACAGTCAGTAAACTGTAAAAGACAGGACCTGAAGGCCATGATAACTGGACAGGACAGGACAAGACAAGACAGGCTAAACAAGCTAATCCATCTCCATCCGCATTCTATTGTACGAGTGGAAATGTATTTTCTACCACCTAAAATACATTCTGAAACAGTTTTTGATAAAGGTTGTAATCATATATACTTTCGATTTTAAAATATCTATACATAATTGAGCCTTAGTGTTATAACATATATTAAGCATTTATTTATTTTAGCCAGAAATATAAAACTTCTGCCAGTTCCCTCAAATACAGCCCTCAAAGGACTAAAGCATTAAAGGGATAGTTTACCAAAAACTGAAAATTCTGCATCCTTTACTTGTTAAAAATCTCTTTGAGTTTCTTTCTTTTGTTAAACTTAAAAGAAGTTGTTTTGCAAACTGTTGAAAACCTGTAATCATTTACTTCAATAGTGTTTAATTTCCTTACTATGGAAGTCAATTCTAACCTTTTCCCAACATTCTTTTAAATATCTTATTCTTTTGTATTTAACAAAAAAAGAAAACTCAAAGGTCAAACCGTATATATAAACTTATATATATTAGTTTACAGGCCTAGGCATTTACCTGACTCTTAATTTCCATTAAACCAATATGATTAATCATAATCCAACAAATTTTTATCATGAAAAAAAATATTATGATCAACCTATTTGAATGAGTAAGCATTATACAACAAGACTCGACACTAATCTTGGTATTGACCTCTTGGCAATTATTAATAACTTATTCAGCAGGCCGTTTAATATCTATTAATACACAATGTGGATTATATAAAACTTGTGAAATTACCTTGTCATAGTCAACGTGATGCCCAAAAGCTGCTTTATTCAACAAACCAAATCCCTCCTCCACCCATATGCAGATCAAATAAATTGAGGAAAAGTGACCCGCAACACTGTCCACTGCCTCCAGCCATGATCGCTCTCAGACTGCTGAACTGGTTCTTCATCACCTCAACAATAGAGGAAGAATATGAAGAAGACAGAAGGAAGAAAACATATGATGTTTCCCTTTACAAACGTGGTGATCTTTTGATTGTATCCAGGACTCTTTTTAAACATTTTGGAATCTATTTAGGTGAGGGTCGTGTTGCTCATTTTATCCCAGACATCCTGCCAGCGTTCACTACAGAGAAGGCTGTTGTTGAGAAAATGGTGACCAACGAAAGGTTGATTTTGGGGGTCTTGGCAAAGTCTTGGCCAGTGTCCGTGTGGACTCTTTGGCAGATTTTGCATATGGCGCTGATATTGAGGTCAATTGTACTGATGGTATGGTCAGTGTGCCGCCACTGAATGGAGAGGAAGTGGCTCAGCGTGCAGAGAAGCTGATTGGATCATTTTCCTACAGTTTACTCTGGCATAACTGTGAACACTATGTCATGTATTGCCGCTATGGTGTTGAATACAGCTTCCAAACCTACCAGGTAAGAAAAAAGATTGTGGATTATACACTATATAGCAAAATCTGTGGTTAGTAAAATCTTTATGCTTGCCGAGACCATATTTATTTGATCTTCACATGATCAAAGAATTTTGAGATTTGTTGCCCGAGACAGATTTATTGTTAAAAATTGAAAATAGATTATGACATTTTAAATATATTTTTAATTAACTTATTTATTTATTTATTTAGTTAATGAGCCGGTCAGGTAGATAGCATAATCTAGAATCCATTTTCAGGAATCTTTGATTAAAGTGCTGCTATTATTAAAATCGCATTATTGACAAGCTTGCATGCGTGCCTTGGTATAATTTCAAAATATCACTACTAATATTAAAACAACAGTTTTGTAGTTGTTACTATTCTGAGTTACGATGAGGAATAGAGCAATATGTTGGTGTAAACTGCACTCAGTAGACCAATCAAAACAGACTGGGTCATTGGACCAATCACTGGAAAGTATCATCATACAAAGGAGGGATTTGAAAATAAACAATCCCTAAACAAATCAGAAGGGATTTGTTGGGATCATTGGGTACAAATACATGCATATTATAAGACAAGGGAAGTGTTTTATGATCTTTCATTCATATCAGCCTGTGGTTGGGTACTCCCGAATTCCAAATATAAATATTTTGTAATTCATTATAGGGGAATTTTAATAAATGAGTTTAAAAATACCCAAAGAATGAAAATTTTTATAAAAAAAAAAACAAAACGCTGGTATCTAAACAATACTCATCTGAAAAATATGCATTTGTATATAATCAATCATTTCTTAATGGAAAGTTAGTGACACCTAAACATAAACAGCCATTAGTAGCAAGAAATTTGTAGGTCTATGTTGTATAGATTAATTGTTAAAACAGCTTGCCAGAGTAAGGTTAAAACAGCCATCAATCCGCAGAAACAGCACCATCTTGTGGACAGTGATACATAATATCACAAAGTGACAGCAAATAATACTAGTTTTCAAAATATAGAAATCTTATTTTTTTACTGCTAAAAATCAATAAAACTGAATGAGACCAGAAGCCAGACAATAGTTCCGATGACTGAGGTAAAACTGAGGTCAAACGACAACTAAGTATTTATGCTGAACAAATCCCTGTCCTCTCTCTTTCAGTTCTGCAAAGCTGTAAGGACAGCTCTCCTCAACAGGATGACGGCCATGCTGTCAGCTGTAATCGGGTTCTGCATCATTGTGTATTTAGGCGCTATAACACCTCTCAGCATCCTTCCTGTTGTCATCATTCCTTTTACCATCTGGATGGCATCTTGAAGACACTCCGGGTGCAATTTGTCCTTTATCTTTGAGGCAGAAATAGCCACAAAAACATTAAACCATTTACTCAACAGTTATTTTAGAAATATGCAGAATTCTAACTGAAACACTTTATTTAAGGGTGTTCTTGTTACAGTGTAACTATTAATTTAACTGTCAATTAATATTGTGCATAATTAGTTTCATGTATAGTTAAGTGGCTTAGGCTTAGGTAAAGTTGCATGTAATTTTGCATAACAATTTTTTATTAGTAGGTGGAACAGGCATGTAATATTGCCTGTTCCACTTACAAATAAAATCTGCAATATAATTGCATACGACAACCTAAACCTAACCCACACACAACCCCATAATCACAAGGACACCTTAAAATAAAGCGTTTGTTACCTAAAGCTGAAATGGCCATAACAAATTATTCACGGAAGTCCTAATTAAATTAAGTTGTGTTTTGATATTGTTAAATGGGAACTGTATGTATGTATGTATGTATGTATGTATGTACAGTTGAATATATTGTATAGTTGAAAATATATGTATAGTTGAAAATATTCCCGAAATGATGTTTAACAGAGCAAGGAAATTTTCAAAGTATGTCTGATAATATTTTTTCTCCTGAAGAAAGTCTTATTTGTTTTATTTCGCCAAGAATAAACACAGTTTTTAATTAAAAAAAAAAAAAAAAAAAAATATATATATATATATATATATATATATATATATATATATTTAAAATTAAGGTCAATATTATTAGCCCCTTTAAACTATATATTTTTCAATAGCCTACAGAACAAACCATCATTATACAACAACTTGCCTAATTACCCTAACCTGCCTAGTTAACCTAAATAACCTAGTTAAGCCTTTAAATGTTACTTTAAGCTGTATAGAAGTGTCTTAAAATTTCTAGTAAAATATTGTTTACTGTCATCATAGCAAAGATCAAATAAATCATTTATTAGAAATAAGTTATTAAAACTATTATGTCTATTATCTTCTCTCCTTTAAACAGAAATTGGGAAAGAAAATAAACAGGGGGCTAATAATTTAGACTTCAACTGTATGTATGCATGTTGCAATGAGAATGATTAATTTTGATTATCAATTTCATGGAATTTTATTAGTGCTATTTTTATAATAAAGAAAACTTTTAAAGCTCTATGGTCATCTTTTGAAAAGGTAATTTGCCAAATGATAACTAAATCAGATTTAAATAAAAAATATAAATAAATATATTTATAAGAAAGTTATAATTGTTGAAAAAAAATCAATTTACTGTAAATCAAAAATCAATCAAAGTTGCATATTTTAGCATCCATTACAACATCTGAGATAATCACTGGGGGGTTGGGGGTGAAGCAAATATCTGAGGGCTTCTTGTAGAACATCTCATGCAAAGTATTGTAAGGTAACATACTGGCATAAAGACAATTCTTTATTCTTTATTATTATTTATTATTTGGTCATACCTGCAGTATAGTCTGCTAGTTTTCAGACATTTTCAGTTTTGTTATTTTTAATGTAGGTATATGTAATGTATATTTTTGGTTCAAACTTTTGACCTTTTACTCTTTTACAAAGCATAATCATTTTCCTTTTAGCTGTAATTTACATCCCTATTTTTTATCCAAAGCAACTGTAAAATTATGTACTTAAATATTAAAGCAGTCACTGAGATCCACCTTGACAATTTATCCAAACCATAAAAAGGTACTCACTCACTAATCAAGTGGTTTCTTTTTCCTGTTGAACACAAAAGAACATATTTTGAAAATTGTAACCATTGACTTGCATAGGAAAAACAAATAAAGAGATCAGTGATGTTTATGCTCAATTATTTCATGTAAAACCTAAAAAGGGAACATAAAAAGTGAAATTACTGAAGCTGCACAACGTAACCTGACAAAAGAATGCTCATTTAGAAGCTTTTGCATTTGAACTCTTCAAAGTAGTATGTTTATCTGTTACCAACATTTGCAAAATAATATATATATATTTTTTGTTCAACAGAAGAAAGAAATTCAAACAGTTTTTGGTTTGTTTGTAAAGGAAATGACCATTTTTCTATGATGACTTTTTATTTTATGGGGGCGAACTATATCCTTGTAAAATTTCTGCCCTTGTCACTTTAAATGAACAGTTCCCCGAGCTACAGCAAACAGACATCAAGTGTCACAAATGACAAGTTCTCTAGATTAAAATTGAATTTCCACTTTCAGCAGAATAGAGTTCTTATTGTATACACTGTGTTATTTCTACCTTATAAGGTAAAACAGTTAATAGAGCACTATAGATCACTGAATTAACAGAAACAGAGCTTCAGGGCACTGGTTATTTCTGTCTTTCTGTTCCCTGTAGTGTTGTTGCAGTGCTGCTACTTATGTCAATTTCCCCGGCTGGACATTTACCTCAGTTTCTCTGCTGAAGTAAATAAAATCTATACCAGTAAATCACAAAGCCAATAAGTGACTAAATGCACCGGTTTAGTTCTATTAGAAACCTATCGGACTTGATTTTGGATGGTTTAGGTCTCATACTGCACTTAAATCAATCCTCAAATGGCTCTTTTTTAATCTTTCTCAAATGTGTCAAACTACAATTAGCATTTTAACAACCTATATGCGAAGAAAACTGCCGAAAATATATTTTACAAGTGAAATCAGTACAATCAGCTTCAAGGGCTGACAGAAACATAGAAAAGCTCTTAGACAATTAAACTGCATGCTGTGATTTGAACATCAGGGGTTGGTGTTAATGTTGTTTAAATAATATTGAAGAAAAAATATAAAATTCTGCATTAAATATGCATTCATTACCCATAATAAAACACACAACAAATCAAAAAACAGATTCACATTACTGTAAAAACAAACAAATAAACTGTGCAACATAGAACCTATACAAATCTAATGGTTAATCCACATTAATCAATATGTTTAATCCAAGAAGCAATGCTTTACATCAGGGATGCTCAATCCTGTTCCTGGAGATCTACCTTCCTGCAGATTTCAGTTGCTACCCATATCAAACACACCTGAACCAATTAATTAGGACCTGAACACCACTTGATAATTACAGGCAGGTGTGTTTTATATGGGTAGCAACTGAAATCTGCAGGAAGGTAGATCTCCAGGAACAGGATTGAGCACCCCTGCTTTACATACTGTAGATTTAATTTAAGCTTTAATTTACTTTTTTATTTTTGTTCAATATGAATGTCATTATTGAAGGATGCTCCGCTGAAGATCAACTACACTAAATCCCCCCCCCCAAAAAAGCCAATGGTAACCTTGGCAAGAAACCAAACTCTACCAATTAATGAGATTATGCGGGTATTTATAGACCAGTGCTCTTCTGGCAGAGCTGCAGTCTAGAATGTGGTGAAGGATGTTGGTGGCCTTGAGAATGGTGATTTGTCCTTCATAAATCTGATGCATATTATGAAACATATAATTATTGTAAACACGTTCGATCACGCATATGTCACAGTCACAGCAGACTTCACAACATCTCAGTGCAGGCAATCACCCAAATTCTAACAAGTCACACCTGCAGCTCATCATCACAGCACTCCAGCATTCCCTTTATGGACACACTCTTCAATGCCAGTGTAGTGTAGAATTGAACCAGCTGTTCATAAGTTGTTGCTTAAACTAGAATTTAAAGTCCACACTAGAGGATTAGCAATTACTAGTTTGTAAATAACTTTGTACTTAATTCAGTTCACATCATGCTCTGAAAGGAGATCTATTATGTAAAAAAAAATCACTTTTATAAGAGGTTTAAACAGCTGTGTAGCAACAGGTTTCTAATATTGCCAGCTTCTAATGATGAAAATAAATTAATTCTATTTATTTATGATCACACTTGTTAAAAACAGTCTGCAGAAACACTGTGATTGATATTTTCCCTTTGTACATGCCATCAGAGGGTGAAAGTTCTGCCTATAACAGTGGTCACCAAACTTGTTCCTGGAGGGCCGGTGTCCTGCAGATTTTACCTCCAACCCTAATCAAACACACCTGAACCAGCTAATCAAGCTCTTAATTGGTATACTTAAAACATCCAGACAGGTGCGTTAAGGCAAGTTGGAACTAAACCCTGCAGGGACACCGGCCCTCCAGGACCAGGATTGGTGACCCCTGGCCTATAAGGTCTGCAGTGTAAATGCAGGTTAAGAGGCATTATAAATGTCAACATCTGAAACCGAAGCCCTATATACATTTATAGAGATCTCAAATTATATAGCCAGAAGTACTTATGGCTGTATTTAATAATATAATTTCATTAAAGTATTGTTTGTTAAATTCTAAATAGTGTAATCAGCCAATGGCTTTAAAATACAACATTGCTCACATGGTGCTATAATGTTGTATTGAAGTTATACCTACACACTATTTCAGACCCAATATTGAAAGTAACATTAGAGTGGAAGCGCGACACTGGCTGTCACTGTTTAAAAATAAATGAATGTGCCAAAGTAAATCAAACTTAAGTTTTGTTATGACTAAATGAAAATCAGATCAGAAAAAAGAAGTGCTAAAACATGAATATCCTGTCATCTTTTAAGACGAGTGACCTGCTCTAAATTTTCAATTGTGCTCGTTAAACCTCATATATTGCTTCTTTTCATCTCCTTTTACACTTGAACAATCAAATTAATGCTATTTATCCAACTATATTATCAAGGCTGTGAACGATACCCTATGAACTTTCGCGGGATGTTTTGAGTGGCTAAAACTCATCAGTGCCAATAAACCCATTCATAAAAAGAACACAATATACATAAGTGACTAAAATAGTTTTAAAACATACCTGTTCAAATGGAGTACTTCAGCCATGGTGTCACCCTTAAGATCATTGTTTTGAGCTGCATAACATTATTTCTCTCCAGAGTGCAAAAGTGGACTAATTCAGATTATGCTTCAGGACTTACAAAATCCTTCTGCATTTTTGGCAGAAGCCCATTTAAAAACAATCTTTCCATTAATGGATAAAAGGATAAGTTGGTCTTTTAGAAAGAAGTCTTTCAAGTTGATGCAGTTTGGCTGATGTCTCTCTGTCAGCGGTACGTAGGTAGCTATGCTTCACAAATGCCATATCTATCTGTTTAGAGTCACTGCGCAGAAATACAAATGTAATTTGTTGACACAGTTTAAGTTGTCTGTCATAATTGAGTTATTTGTGGGCCAAACGATTTTTAATTGGACAAACATTTTTTTTAGAATTATGTCTTCATTTATTTGTTCATTTTCTTGTCAGCTTAGTCCCTTTATTAATCCAGGGTCGCCACAGCGGAATGAACCGCCAACTTATCCAGCACATTTTTACGCAGCGGATGCCCTTTCAGCTGCAACCCATCTCTGGGAAACATCCACACACACATTCTTATGTCTTAATCAGAATAAAAAATACATATAAACACGTTTAGATCATTTACTTTAATCAGTACTATTGGAATGTGAAAAGACTTTTAAACAGCACAACAAAAAATGTTATTGAAGGCAATCACCTGCTGCACCTTAAAACTGGAAACTTTTAATAGCCTGTGCATAGAAAACAAAAGAAACAGGAAGGTAAATTCAGTCATGAATAAATGATAATTTTAATTGATGGATATGAACAAAAAACACTCCTTGAAAAAATCTAAAAACTAAATAAAAGCAAAGCCTGTAAATAGAGAGAGATGAATGCAGTAGGAACTTCATTATTAGTCATAAAAGTATAAGTAAACTAATCTTGCTGTCATCTTTCCCCATCACTATTCATTAACAAAGTCTTTAAAGTTTAAGTTATAAGGTGCAGCAGAATCTATTGAGTGTGCAAGTTGTAACGTTAGTGATACTTATATTTTGCACTGCTATTTACAACTTTGGACTACCTCCTTTCCATTTTCCTATCACTCTATCCAGTTCTGTGGCATCACCTTACTTGTTTCTACAATCCTTTCATTGGTTTCACCAGTTCCTAAGTAGTGCCACTATCTCATTTCTCTGCTCACCTAATCCAGTAACCTGTGAAAGACTTATTTCAGTTCCTAGTAATCTCTCTCAAAGACTCTTGTATTAATGATATTCTCACCTGCCATATCTATTTAAACAGACTTTAAATAAACACATCTGTTTGGCTTTAACTATATCCTATCTCTCATGTTTTTTCTTTTTTAGAGCACTTGATGTGCAAAAACCAATAAAGTTTGTTAAAAAAAAAAAAGATTGAGAACATTTACGTTATATTCATTTTTTGCAGTCCAAAGATGAAACAAAGAAAGAACAAAAGTTTTACAGGTTTGAAGCAACATGAGATTTCTTGGTCTTACTTTGAACAATTGATTGGTGTGTGTTATTTTAAAGAGAGGAACAAACCAAATTATTCTTAAACCTAAAGTAATTTGCTCTTGCCCTGGTAAACAGCCATCCAGGTTGACTTTATCCTTAATCAATATTCTTTATGAAACTCAGAAAAGTAATCTAAAACAGGAAGGCAGCTTCCTCAGAATAACTGGCCTCAGAAAACAAACAGTAAATAAATAATTAAATAAAAGTCCATCATCCAATCAAATTCAATGGCAGCAAAGGTAGAAGAGGACTTGAACATGCTATTAATCACTCAGTTGTTTTGATGCTATGATGTTAAACTACAGAGCAAGACAAGAATGATTAACGTTAATAGTCTCAGTGCAGTTCTGCATGGTTAGGAAATTGATGTTCAGGCTGTTCATGAGTGTTTAGATTGAATTACTGCATGCAGCTCTAAAAGCAAAAAGCTCTGCAGAAAGGAGACTATAATTGCTATCTTACTTAGAAAACAAAAACCTAATGGATTAAAATTTGGAGGTTCTTGCTTTCCCCTTTATTAAAGTGGCTTATAATGAAAACCTTCATGTTCTTGCTCTACGCACAGGTTACTACGGTACTTGCTATAATCAATACTACATTATCCATTGCTGTAATTCATCAGATGAAATAGAATTAGTCTAAAATTCTAATATTTTTTTTAAATAAGCACGTGTGCATGGGGGAACAAATGACACTCAACAACAGGAACAACAAGATCATATTGTATTATCTGCAGTAGCAGACATACAGATATACAAAGCTCTATTGCTAAAGGCATTGCATGTATATCCAGTTTATCCTGTTCAAATCAAATATACCTGGCAAGAAAACTGGGCAACCCTTATCTTTATTTTTGACGTCATGCGTCCATTTGTACCTGATGTGCATTAGACATGTTCCTTTTGTCATAATGATTACATTTGTTGAAATTTGAAACCGTCTTTGCACAAACATGCATACCATATATGCTAAACACACATGACAGCCAGAAAAAGTAAACAATAAAGATGGGATAAGAAATTTATTAAATCAGCTAAGCTGTACAATATATAGGCTATCTGACTGTTTTTCGTGTCATGATAGGCTATTGTATTGCTAACACTGAGGACTTTCACAACCTTAATAAACATAATAGAGGATAATTCTCTCACAGATAATTAATGTACTGTCAAAGTACTTCATTCATTTAAATGTCAAGCCCCTTGTATAATTTTTGTATTAACTATGAATTAACATAATTACATATTCATAACTCTATGATCTTTAAAGCTTCATATTATATTTTAATTACTGTATAAAGCAAACAGTGGCTCATTAGCCTGATGTCAGTCAACGGTCTCGCGAGCCCTTGCTACATCTGCGCATGTAAAGACCAGCAGAAGCAGCTGGAGACTCAAGCGGACGCTTCACCTTCACAGCATCACATCCAGACAGATTCGTGTTAGACTCTTCTTCGTGACAGTCGAGGGGTTTTGCGCAATCATTTTGATATGGATTTGGTATCTTTGTTCTCTTCAAGATTTACGAACGAGATCTGCCACACGAAACTTCACAATTTTAAGAAGGTAAGACACTTTGAGCTGTTAAGTCTTTTAATTATTAAAAAAAATCGACTTTTTATTTAATTAGTCCAACACTTTCCGGTTTATGATTATTAACTTGAATTGGGTAAAAACGTAACTTTTATTTTAATGTCAAATTTACAATCCAAAATAGCCTAGATATTATAAACCGAAAAAAGAATGAAGTTAAAAACATTTTAACGATTAACCCATTTTACATATTGATCAAGTATTAAAAATAGCCTATCACGATTATATTATATTATATTATATTATCTAAGATTATCAACTTGTTTTTAATAATTTTAATATAACCTGAATGTCTGAATTTTATCTTTTAAACGATTTAAAAGTTTTGATTATTGAATTATAGCCAAATTAAAAAGGCGTGCATGCAATAATTGTTGAATGAATTTTACAACGCCAAAGCATAATTATAATTAATTTTGTTTTAAATGTTAACTTTTCGGTTGTAATTCTTTTATATATATTGTAATTTAGTTTTTTAGTCATTTGTTAATATTATTTTTTTTGCTTTAAATAATGTATGTAGTTCGTCTTTTATTTAGTTTTAGTCATTGTATATTCAAAATAAAAATGCAAAAAACATGGGTTTGTTTCAAATATGCAGTTATTAACAATTGATTTATTAAATGAACAACTGCATGAATAATTTCTAAATCCTAACATTAATTTTAAAGAAGGTACATCTTTTGCTTTAATAATGTATTGGTAAATAATAATAAATATTGTATTAGTAATGAACTTTCAATGAACAGCTGTATGTTCATTATAACAAGGATATAAATATTTTAACAATAAACTTTGCCATTGTATGTGAACAGTTTTATGTAAAAGTTTAGCCACTCCCGATATTGTTTTTATAATTGCAAGCCATAGTCTGCTGACTGTTCAAATTAGAAATTTCACTTGGATATATTGTATACCCTAGGGAAAAAGCAACATTTTAGCACTGACATTTATTTAATCAACAGATGCAATGCAATTAAGTCATAACAAAAACAGACAGGTGTACAAATTTAGGCACCTCAACAGAACAATGACATCAGTCTTTTGTACAGCCACCTTTTGCTAAAATAACAGCCTGTATGCTTCTTATAGTAAATGTTAAGTCACTAAAGGCTTGCTGTAGGCATTTTGGGTCATACTTTCTTGCAAAATGTCTCCAGTTCAGTCAGGTTTGATGGGTGCCAAGCATGAGCAGCTCTTTTCAAATCGATCCATAGATTTTTGATTATGTTTAAATCTGGAGACTGGGATGGCCATTCTAGAACATTGTATCATGTCTGACTATGAATTCCTTGGTAGATCTGGAACTGTGCTTTGGGTCATTGTCCTGCTGAAACATCAAACCCTGCAGCAACTTCAGCCTCTTGACTGATTCCTGATCATTGTTTTTCAGAATCTGCTGATACTTTGTGGAATTCATGCGCACTTCAACTCTGACAGGGTTTTCAGTACATGAGCTTGCCACACATCCCCACAGCATAATAGACCCTTCACCATATGTTATTGTTTTTTTTTTCTGCCATGCAAAGCGTTTATGGCTGTGGCATTTGTCCACAGTATATATTTTTCCAAAATGATTCAGGCTCGTCCAGATTAGCCTTTGCATACATCAAACATCTCTTCTTGTTGGCAAAATGCAGAAAAGTCTTCTTCTGCATCACCTTCTATTGAGCTGTTCTTTGTGAAGTGTGTGCTGGACTGTGCAAGATGTGTGCAAGATGTTCCTGGAGCTCTTTGGAGGTAGTCTGTAATTTGACTGTTACCATTCTAACCATTCTTAGCCTTTGCCTTACAGGCATTTTTCTTGGTCTAGCACATCTTTCCTTCACAAGAACTGTTCCTGTGGCCTTCCATTTTCTTACTATATTTCTGACTGTGGAGATAGAGACTTTAAACCTTTGGGATAGCTTTTTGCCTTCTTCTAATTCATGTTGATGAATTATCCTAGTTTTCAGGTCAATAAAAAGTTATTCTGAGGTCCCCATCTACTTTTAGGTTCACAATAAGTAGAAGCACAACTAGCAGTCAGCTATCCTTTTTCATGATTGTTGCACCTGTGTGTTGTAAACAATCAGTATTAAGTGATTACAGGTATTTAAATCCACACAAAAGTGTGTGTGTGTGTGTGTGTGTGTGTGTGTGTGTGTGTGTGTGTGTGTGAAGAATTTAGATGCAAAAACCACTAAATGCTGACTGAAATTTTCATCTAAAATTTGTGTTTTTCTTAACCTCCTGTGTTTACGTTTAGTAGTTATTTTACTTTAAACCTATTCTTTGCACTAAGGATAAAATTACTGAAACTACACACAACAGTTTATTTTCCCTAAATTATCCCTTTATTAATCTGGGGTCGCCACAGCAGAATGAACCACCAACTTTTTCAGCATATTTTTTGAGCAGCGGATGCCCTTCAAGCTGCAACCATCACTGGGAAACATCCATCTATACACACTCATCCACACACAAACACTACAGAGTTTAGCTTACTCAATTTACCCCTACCACATGTTTTTGGACTTGTGGGTGAAACCAGAGCACCCAGAGGAAACCCACACGAACACGGGAAGAACATGCAAACTCCACACAGAAATGCCAATTGACCCAGTCGGGGCTCGAACCAGTGACCTTCTTCCTTTGAGGCAATTGTGCTATACTCACTAGGGTTGGCGTGATACCATTAATTCATGTCACGGTACTATACCAGCTGAAGTATCATGATACCAAGTAGTACAGCGATACTGTAATTCATAACTCAAATCCATGAAATAAAGAAAAATGTGAGAAATACTATATTTTATTGAAAAAAGTATTTGCACATCTCTTCACCTAAAATGTATTTGTTCCAACAAAAAATACATTAAAATAAAGAGACAAATTATACCAAATGAAATTTGTTACAAAAATAGCATTTTTCCAATAACTTAGGCTATATGAAGTGGTCACAAATAGTTTCAATGTTTCCTGTTGCTATTTTGGGTTTTTAATCTAATGTTTTTTTTTTTTCTTTCAGTCTTTTCATGTAAGAATCCAAAGTAATCTAAAGTGTTGTAGCTATTAAATCATAATGAGCAGAAAATTAGTGGATTCAGATTCGAATTGATTGATAGATTTGGTGGCATAGCATCACGATACTTTAGTACCGGTAAACTGTGCAACCCTACCACCCACTGCACCACCGTGCTGCCCCTATATTTTACTTTTAATTCAAGCAAACAAAACGTTTTGGTTGAATGTTTTTTTTTTCTACAGTCTTTGATACAAAATAGATTTTAAAAATTATTTTCACATTGCTTTCTTTTTTCTCCAGAGTAAGTGACTTCTAAGACTGAATACAAAAATGGATGTAAGAACCCAAATAAACACATCTGAAGATGGAACCCTGAGCCAGCTAAATCAGTCCACAAACTGTTGTGCACCAGACACTGCTGAAGTTGATGCAGCCTTACTGGATGGTCTGGAAGACAGTACAAAACTGGTGGGTGTTCAAGTGATCTTGATTTTGGCTTACAGCACCATCATTTTTTTTGGCATGACCGGGAACTCCTTGGTCATATATGTCGTATACAAGTTTCGCAATTTACACACGGTGACTAACTATTTCATTGTCAACTTGGCTGTAGCAGACTTGCTGGTAAACACATTGTGTTTACCTTTTACTTTGATGTACACACTCTATGGAGAGTGGAAATTTGGACAGGTGATGTGTTACCTATTGCCGTACGCACAAGGCTTAGCAGTCCACGTTTCAACCATCACACTTAACGTTATAGCACTGGACAGATACCGTAGCATCGTCTACCACATGGAAACCAAGATGTCTAAAGACATGTGCGTAGTTGTCATCGCCATCACTTGGGTGGCAAGCGCGATCCTCGCTAGCCCTCTTGCTATTTTCCGTGAATATGTGACCTTTGACCTTTCACCTGAGCAGACGATTCAAGGTTGCGCAGAAAAGTGGCCTGGAAGTAGCACAGATGGAACCATCTACAGCATCGCCATGTTTTTTCTACAATATGGCCTGCCGTTGTCCATCATTTCATTTGCATACACTCGGATTTGGAACAAGCTAAGAAATCATGTCAGCCCCGGCGGTGGCCGCAGCGACCGCCATCAACGAAGACAGAAAACAACAAAAATGCTTGTAGCTGTAGTGGTGGTCTTCACCGTTAGCTGGCTGCCATTTCACGCCTTCCAGCTTGCTGTGGACATCGACAGCAGTGTATTAGAAATAAGAGACTTCAAATTGCTCTATACAGCTTTCCATATTGTTGCCATGTGCTCCACTTTTGCAAATCCTATCCTCTATGGTTGGATGAATAGGAACTACAGAGGATCTTTTGTTGCTGTGTTCAAGTGTGGAAGGATAAATAATGGAATGAGAAGGGTTAGCAGCAGTGAGGCAGTAAGGGAAAAATGTACACGTAATTTGGAAAACACAATCAGTATTGCTCTTACACAAGCAAACACACTTGTGTGACGGCTGCTTGGTTTCTGATATATCAAAATGTGAACATAACAATGACGAAAATGTAAAAAGTTTAAGGAAAAGGAAGATTGTAAGTAAATTTGAAGTTATGAGACAATTGTTGTGAATTTGTGACTTGTGTTGAAATGCTGTATTTTTTGTTTCAGTGTCTAATTATGTGTTTATAATTGTGTATACCATTCAATTTCCTTAAGGGGTGGCCACGGTGAAATGACCTGCCATTTACTCTAGCACACGTTTTACTGGCAGATGCTCTTCATACCCCTACCCATCCCTTGGAGTGAACTAAAGGCCATTTCACACCAAGGATAACTATAAAGACAACAATAAAGACATTGTTCCAGAAATCTTTCTGAATGTAAAACAACATCGGCGTTCAGAACACAGCTATAATGATAAAGATGTTGAGAAACGATAAGGTTGGGATTAATTACAAAATAAAAACAATGTCAGCCAGTGAAATATACAGGACTTTAGCAATTCAATACTACAGATAGCATAGTGGAAAACTCACTGCTTGATGTTAAGCCCTATTTTCATTTTGGAAACAGTTGGTTATGGGAGAAAAAGAATATAAAAATGTAAATGGAAGCTGTACAAGCTATACAATGCTCATTTCTGATGTTTTATTCTGCTACACTGACTGTGGTCACTAACTTCCCTGTTTGATTTGATAGATTGCATGTGCTGGATTTACTGGTCAGATGAGCTAAAAACTTTGCATGCTGAGGAATTCTGATGTTTACAAAGGGGGCAATGGAAAAAGTAAAGTATAAACAAAATAAAAATACAGATTGTTATTATTTGTTAGTGTGAACATAAATATAGTATTCATTAAAATCATTTAAATTGACCAAGGTTTCGTCCTTAACTTGTGCAACTCCCAATGCTAGTCAAATCTAGTCAAATATTATTTACTGTCATCATGGCAAGGATAAAATAAATCAGTTATTAGAGATGAGTTAATAAAACTATTATGTTTAGAAATGTGTTGAAAAAATCTTCTCTCTGTTAAACGGAAATTAGGGAAAAAAACAATAATACTGACCTTAACTGTATGTATGTATATATATATATATATATATGTGTGTGTGTGTGTTACTTTATTATATTTTTTCAAACTGATTCAGTTTCTGTAGAGAAATAAGTAACCATATTCACTTTTTTTGCACTAGACAATTCTTTAATAAGTGTTAATGATTTTTGTTTCTTAAAATTTTAGGGGGTCGTGATGACGTCCTGGGTCGCTAAAAATGGAAGATAAGCATTTAATGGGTAAATAAAGTTTTTTTCATGTAGAGTTTAGCATGTCATAGGTAAAACAGTGCATAATAACATGGCACAGTCTTCATTGTAAGAATAAATTATGAATTGATTATTATTAAAAATTAAAAAGTAATCATTTCAAAAAGTGAGTAGTGACAATTTTGTCTTTGATGTTTGATTAACATTACTGGCGCAAACAGCAGCAGGCACCTGTCATCTTAACACACACAATCTATAATAAACTGACATATGTTTTTCATCAAACTTTTTCCATTAATTTAAGTCATAAATAAAACATGACTTAAAAAAATAAACATTACAAAATCTATGTCATCAAAATTTACAGAATATTATCAGACTGCCTATAGCACTCTGTCTCCAAACACTGAAAGTCTGAAACAGGTTTTACAGAAATATAATACTTTTTGTTAATACAAAAATTCACAGTGTAATCAATACAGTATTTTCATTGGGCAGATAGGTAAAAAGCCAGCTGCTTTCTGTTTTAGACTCCCCATGTCTCACAGGTAATTAGGTTTCATAGCCTCTAATACTGCACAATGTTCACAATAAGATCTCAAGCATCACAAGCTATGAAATACTGGACCATTTTGATTCCAAGGTCTGGTTGGCAGTGGTCTCTGCTTGTATCTTATGGAGATTTATGTTCCATATAAACTGAACAATGACCATGTGCTATGACAGCTTCTATTATTTAGAATTATAAGTTCATCTTTTTAATCATAAGTAATACACCTCCCCCCCCCCCCCCCCCCACCCCTGGAAGACAAGCCCCCATACTTTATAAAAATGAAGAAATATGGTTTACAAATGGAATTTACTCCATCAAGATCACTATTCCTAATTCTGATAGGCACTGGTCCATGAAAGATCAATCAGCTGACAGGAACAGAGCAATCGATACTCGCTGAGCACAAGAGAACAACATAAAAATAGAATGTGAGGGTCTCAGAGTATTGATCCTGTCAATTACCGTCCTGCCCATCTTTAAATGTCCCAAAAGCCACTACTATCATATCTACAATTCACAATTGAATTCCTGTCTCTGAACAAAACTATTTATCTATAGACATCTTGCTGCATTAGGGATTTTATTTCGAGCAGATGGCTTTTAGTCTCAAAGCTTCAGAATGTGCATTAGCAGTGGTGCCATCTCATTGTTATTCTTTGCAGGTTTTTTTATATATCCCACAATAAATGAACATCAAAGAAGTGACCATATCTTGCAGGGTTAATAGCACAGAATACATTTAAAGCTGGTTCCTATATCCTTTATTTCTTTGTGGATGGCAAATTTACATTTCTCTGGTTTTAAAGACAAAGTATGTACATAATTTTTATTAAAATATCCAAAAAAAAGTAGAACAGTGTTATAAATTTTGCTGACTATTGTACTTAAATTATCCTTAATGCTTTGAATAATGTTCAAATCCAAAGAAATACGCGATTTCAACTAGTGACAGGACAACCATGGACTTTTTCGCCTTGCTAATGACATTGTCATACAGCCTCACTTTCCAGTTTGGTGTTATAGTAAAAATGGAAACGCCAAAGATTCTTTAGTATGTTGTGCATCTTGTTAAGACTGCTCTAAGCAGCATTGTAACGTAACCTTACAATTGATTTATAGTAGAATGACAACATCATCACAAACTGAAGAACCAGAAGCAGTGGACTATGGCACAATAAAAGCTCTGCTGCTTTCATGCTTTATCAACTTAGTCTCTCATCTGCAATTGATTCAGCAATCTTGTTTCGATTTGAAGACTTTCAGCCTCAGTGTGCTTTATGTTACCATGCTAATTATAATATACATATTAATAGTTCTGAATACTTTAGCTTATTTCTGCATGTAATTATGAGGAGATCTCCCCATTGTGTGTAAAGCGATTTGAGTGCCCAGAAAAGCGCTATATAAATGTAAGGAATTATTATTATTATTATTATTAATTAAGATGACATTTCTCCTAATTTCACATTCAGTCACAGTGTCATCAAACTATGTATTTAATTGTTGTGACTGCACACCATCTAAGGCAAAAAAGTTGAATGATGTGCCTTTAAATATAAAGTTCACAGAAAAAAAGAAAACATTCTTATTTGTTTTTCAAGCGGTTTCAAACCTTTGAGTTACTTTCTGTTGAACAAAAAGAAGATATTTTGAAGAATGTTAGAAATGTGTAACTGACATAATAGCAAAAACAAATACTCTGGTCAAAGAAGTCAATGGTTATCAGTTACCAACATTTTTGAAAATAATTTCTCTTGTGTTGAACAGAAAAATAAAACTAGACAGCATTATGACAAGTGAAGGGTGAGTAAATGATGACAGAATTTTTGGCTGAACTTTACCTTTAAGGTATTTGCTCCTTCAATCTCCCCAAGGGATAAAAAAAGTATTATATTATAATGTCTACTGTAACAGGATATTGGCTTGTTGTGAGGAAAGTGCATATGGATATTAGACAATCCTTTTTTTAAGGCTTTGACACAACTTATAAAGATCCCAGACTGCGGTGACCATCTTTGAAGAGACCACTTCTGTAAAGCATATGGATTTGTGCAAGGGTTTGAAGGCTGGAAAGAAATACAAATCACAGATGTACAATTTCAAGACATGTTTTATGTGACAAAATAATAGCACAATTTTCACCAGAACAAATATTAAAACGGTCCAAACTGTAAAGGCTAGCAAACAAATTCAGTACAAGTGCCTAAAAAGAACGCAAGTTTAACACATTATTTAAAAAATTAAATAAATATAAAAACCAAAGCAAATAAAGCAATTTATTTTAAGTAACATTAAAGCTTTAATAAACACATAATGCCATGCTATATAAATTTTTTACAGCACTGATGAAGCTATATGTCAGGTTTAAGAAATTTAGACAAATATCTCAAAGCTGCTGCTCGAACTTAAAAACATCTTAATGAAAATGCCACATAGTGTTTTCAGCGCTCCTGAAATTTGATTATATTAAATGTCAAAGAACATGGTAAAAATAAAAATGAAATAAAGTTCATTTTCCAAATGGGATGGTTTTGTTAGGTGGGCTCCAGGGTGGAGGGGGTTCTTCTTGAAGAATAGCCTGTATCCTCTTTTCTTTTTTCTCTTTCTCTTGTTGAAACTCTTTTCTTCTCTGTAAAAAATGACCAGGACCATGTCAATCCAATATACACATACAGAGGAAAATCAATACATAATGTAGTTTAAATATAGATTAAATGCAATCTCAAAGCATATGAATATCCTTGGTTTAATGCATAACATGGTAAATGACAACCGACTTCATAGATATATGACTGGTCTGTCCATTTCTCGTTTTTGTTTTTTGCTACAATGACAGCAAATGAATGGCAAATAACATTTCACAGAGGGATTGGTTAGCTTGTTCTTTTTGTTTAAAGTTGCCATAGAATGAAAAGCAGAATATACCCAAGACATAAGGCATAGCTAAATAATAAGAGTTCAGCAGATGGAAATGGCAGACCTCGAGCCTCAAACACTATTATTTTCCTCTTTCTAATCTAAATATTTAATGTAAAATCAGATCAAAACACTGACTCTGAAACCTGGAATCATTGATATAAGCGCTTGCATTAATACATTCATTCATTTTCGGCTTAGTTCCTTTATTAATCAGGGATCGCCACATTGGAATGAACCACCAGCTTACACAGCATATGTTTTACGCAGCGGATGCCCTTCCAGCTGCAACCCATCACTGAGAAACACCCAAACACTCTCATTTACTCTTATACACTACGGACAATTTAGCTTACCCAATTCACCTATAGCGTATGTCTTTCGACTTGTGGGGGAATCCGGAGCACCCGGAGGAAACCCATGTAAATATTGGGAGAACATGCAAACTCCACACAGAAATGTCAACTGATCCAGCCGAGGCTCGAACCAGCGACCTTCTTGCTGTGAGGCGACTGCGCTACCTAGTGCCCAGCTCGTCACCCATGCTTGCATTAATAAACCTTGTATTTACTGAGTATGTGACTAGCATTTGCGACGCAGTGGCACAGTAGGTAGTGCTGTCGCCTCACAGCAAGAAGGTCGCTGGTTCGAGCCTCAGTGTTTCTGCGTGGATGTTTGCAAGTTCTCCCTGCATTCGCGTGGGTTTCCTCCGGGTGCTCCGGTTTCCACAACAATCCAAACACATGCGGTACAGGTGAATTGGGTAGGCTAAATTGTCCATAGTGTATGAGAGTGTGTATGTGTGTGTATGGATGAATGTTTCCCAGAGATGGCTTGTGACTGAAAGGGCATCCGCTGCGTAAAAAACTTGCTGGATAAGTTGGTGGTTCATTCTGCTGTGGCGATCCTGGATTAATAAAGGGACTAAGCCAACAAGAAAATGAATAAATGAATGACTAGTATTTTAAAACCAAAACATGTTTAGGGACGCACAAGTTCTGTTTAAATGTATCTTTTGTTAGTTTAACTTATTGTGAAATTTGCTATATATGTAACGAGGCAACAGACACGTTTAGGTTTGCAATGAGGAAACAAAACACATGTAAACTGTTAAATAAAAGTGTTTAAGCATGTTTATTCATTAAACCATTCAAGCTCTTAATGTGATTTTTATGGCATGAAAGGATGCCAATAAATATTATAAGACTTATCTGTTTACATCTCTTTTTGCCCCTTTTGATGAAAAAAAAAAAAAAACATTCATTCATTTAAAAATATACCAAGGAATCAACTCAATATTTTATCTACTCAATATTGCACAGATTAGACCCTTTCTCTCAAGACCTGATTCATTTGAATTATTTAGCCTGACATGTTAAATGTTCCAAAATATTTTAAATGTTCAAAATAGAACATATCGGCAGTGTCTGAAATCACCTCGTATGTACATCATTTGAATTTACTACTCAACCGATAGAAACATACGTTCTACACACTAAAAAATGTGAGTAGTATGAATGAAGCTCAGGCGTACTACGCATGACATCACCATCACATGACATTTTCCTCCCATTCATAATTTAGATCACGATGCATCATGGGACAGCGTAGTGTCCATCGGATGCGCACTTCAGAATGTTGCCAGACGTAGTAGGTGGTTCTGGTACTTCTCGCATACTGTTTTTCGAATTCGGGCATACTACTTGGATTACATAATGTTTTTAGCATACTATGTAGTATGGAAGTATGTGATTTCGAACACAGTCATTTATTCAAAGCAGAATAAAAAAAAAATTAAAAAAAAAAGAGTAATTTTTATTTTTTTACCCAGACATTCGAAAACAATATATTTTAGAGCAGTAATCACAATACTGTGAAACCAGGATATTTTTATCCAAGGTTAAACCTTTAGAATGTTATACCAGCCCATGTGTAGTTCTGACACACGCCACCACATTACTTCTGTACTTCGACAATTACACTGGTTTCCTATTAAGTCACGGATTGATTTTAAGACCTTGATTTTAACCTTCAAAGCAGTGCATGGGCTAGCACTTGGTTACATTTGTGATCTGGTGACTCTCACCACTCCAGCCTGCAGTCTTCGTTCGACATCGGGACTTACCCTGTATCAGCCACACAGTTAACTCAAGACCATGAGTGGTAGGTCTTTCTCATACAGTGCGCCTTTTTAAGAAACTAATTAAGACTCACCTTTTTAGCATTGCTTTTAACTTAGGATGATTACTTTTGTTCATTTATTATTCTGTCTTATGGTTCATATTTTTGCTTTTGTTGTTTGTTTTCATTGTTGTGCTGTTTCTGCTATTGATAGTATTTTGCCTTGTAGCGATTTGAATCTAAGATAAGCGCATTGCATATAAAATGTATTAATATTATTATTATTATTAACCAATTTGTTAAAATATTTATTTGACAACTGAAGTATGGTTATTTTGTATGTGTGTATTTGAGAGTACAGTATATCACTATGTGTGTTTCTGTGTGTGTAAGTGTCAGGTAATGACAACAAAGCAGAGCTCATTAATATACATAACGTTTCCAAATTTGGTCAAAACCAACCGTATCATACTCAGGCAAACTCGGGTTGGAAATGGACCCATAAAATAAAAGAATTCTGAAGAATATTTGCACTTACCGAATATATATACTTTCTATATCAATATCAGAGAACAATTGAATATATCGTGTTAACATATTCTATAGCACTTTTAAGCAATTTAATTTAATTTATGTTAGACTAGTGTCTTTAAAAAGTAAATTGATCTGTGATTGTGGAATAGTGTGCAAAGTTAATGCAAGTGGTCTATTTATGATGAAAATTACTATAACCCACCAGCCATTTGTCATACATCTCCAGTGCCATTTTATCTTTTTCTTCCTTTTCATATTGCTCCTCCACTTCCTTTATCTTCTGCTTTCTGCGTTCTTCCCGTACTTTCTCTTCAATGACGTCCTTCTTTTGGTCGCTCCTGTGTAATATTTGAAGTAATTACCCGAAAGTCATGTTCTGCTCAATGGCACAATTGTAATAGGAGGCTTCACAAAGAGAGCTCATTTACATTTTAATCAATACATAATTGCTGAGTGGCTTGAGCATAACCAAATGAGAGCTGTTTAACAAAAGAGAAAGACTAAAATTAAAGTTCCGTATATTTCAAATGTGTCTTTCTTACCATTTAGTGAAAGCAGAGGAGCAGTCCTTCTTTCTCTCTTCTTTCTCTGTGACCTTCTGTAGTTTCAGCTTTCTTTCAGCCTGTTTCTTTTCCCTGATCTTGTCTTTAAGGATACTGTCGTGCTCCTCTTTCCACTTCTCAAAAACCTGCTTTTGGAAATGTATAAATGTGTAGTGGATAAATAAGTAGATCCCTTTCATATTTGTTTTAATAAAGTATTTCTAATAATTGTATTTGTAAATATTTTTTATGAAAACGCAGACCTGTTTTGCTGTTTCCTTTTTTTCTTGTTTTTTATCCATTTCCACTTGTTGTTGGTTGATTAGCTTCTGTTTTTCGCTGAGTTTCTTTCTTATGACGTCACGTTTTTTCTCTTTCCAGGCATCATAAGAGGCCTTTGCATCTGCAGTTTTAGAAAGCTTTTCCTAGAAGGGAAACAATATGCATATTTAATAAACCTTACAAAGGATTCTGAAAACTTTCACTGTATTAAGTGGAAAAGAGGGCGCTGCAGTGGCGTAGTAGGTAGTGCTGTCACCTCACAGCAAGAAAGTCGCTGGTTCGAGCCTCAGCTGGGTCAGTTGGCGTTTCTGTGTGGAGTTTGCATGTTCTCCCTGCGTTCGTGGGTTTCCTCCGGGTGCTCCGGTTTCCCCCACAGTCCAAAGAGATGTGGTACAGGTGAATTGGGTAGGCTAAATTGTCCGTTGTGTAGGAGTATAAATGAACGTGTGTGATTGTTTCCCAGAGATGGGTTGCGGCTGGAAGGGCATTTGCTGCGCAAAAAACGTGCTGGATAAGTTGGCGGTTCATTCCGCTATGGCGACCCCGAATTAATAAAGAGACTAAGCCGAAAAGAAAATGAATGAATGAATGATCTAGAGAAGAAATTTATATTGAACATCTTAATTACCTCTTGCATTTTCTCCTCTTTCATTTTCTGTTCCTGCTTTTTTGCCCTCCTAGTAATTTCCAAGGTTTCTTCTTTCTTTTTCAGCCATTCCTGTTATTTTTCAAACAAATGTTAGATGCATTAAAATCTTTTTCCCCATTAAAACAATAACGGCCAGTCTCTACATGTCCTTTAAAGTAATAATGTTTTAGTAAGCGTCTAACCTGGTAGACAGCTGCTCTTAGTGAATCTGCTGCTTCTGGAACCTGTTGGGCCTTCTGTGTTCTCTGATCCAAAATTTTCAGTGTTCCCAAGTATTTGGACTCTGCTTTATAAGAACACTTGGACTTTCTGGAACTGGTTGACTGAGAGCTTGAAGGCCTAAAGCCCAAAATATTTCAGTTTACAATGTTTATTGAATGAATTTCAGTAACACTCTATAGTTACATGTAAAGTGAGGATTTTTTCATCTTTAAAACATTTTAAACAATTAACATACTGTAGTATTTAGCAGAATAGTTAAAAACAGATAGTTGTTAGTTTAATATGGTTTCAATACAGCATGTTTATGATATTATAAATTTTATAGCAGTGATATCTTGCTGACAGTCTAATGGTTACATTTAAAAAACTAAATGTATTGCTTGATTAATATAACTACTTTGCATATTGTCTAGAAATATCTCTGATTTCAATAAAATGTCTTTAATTGAGTTATTAGTCAAATAAAAATGTTACAGGTTTGATGTTTATTTTTAAAGTGTTTAAAAATTCAAAGGTCCTGTTTAACTCAAATTTAAAGATTAAAATGTTTTATTTCTGTTGTCAATGCACTGAGATTTATCTGGATTTTTTTTCTGCCTTGTGAAAGAATTTATTTTGGGTATTTCATAGTATTTCATAAGGATCTAAAGCTTAGCAGAGAAGCAAACCTTCTCACATGAAATGAATCAAACTGACACTCTATGTTTCGTGTGATTGCCTGTTTGCCGCAGATGTCACACTTCCAAGAGCACACACTCCTGAGTTAATCAAAAACTTGCTGCATCAAACCCTGAGCTGACAGAGAGTGTTTATAGCAAGCATTGGGAGTCCAAATCCAGTAATAAACTTTCAAAAAACAAATTTACTAACCTGTCAGTGGTTTTTCTAGAAATCTGGTTTGGTGTGGTTGATGCTTGTTCAAGGTCACCTTGGGAACTCTCCTGATTGGAAAAAAGAGTAAACACTCTTAAAAGTTATGTCAGTATTAACGTAAATTAATTCATCTTAATTTGTAGGCTACTACATCATTTAGTCATAGCTTCATATTACAGTGCTGAAACATGCCCAATTCTGTGATTTAAAGAGCACCTATATGCATTACAAAAAGTCAGATTGTGATTTTGGGGGTCTCCAGCAACAGGCTGATGTGCATGCAAGATCAAAAAATAAAATGCATTTAATTTTACCTAATCATTTTACTCCTGAATTATTTGATCAGCGATTCATATTGTTTTTTAATGCAATCCTTTGTGGGTCACTAATCTGTGGTGACTGTCCTGATGACCCTGTATTTTGTGATTGGTGGACTGTGTTCAGTGCATGATGGAAAAAACATTAAGCAGCCAGCCATAGTGTAGAGAATATGTGTGAGCCCAATGCAGTTAAACACCAGCATATTGCTCTGTTCTTAATCATAACATTAAGCAATAACAATGGCACACATTCGGTAATAATAGACACAATGGCAAAAGCTACATCATTTTGAAAATCGACAAGGCCACCTCTAAGAACAGCTGATGGCCATAGCAACGAGAAACACCAGAGCTTGCTCAGGGGTTCTTATTGGCAGCCCTGCAGCTGGGTGCCTATAATGTTTACTGCATGCCTAGTAACAGTACTGCATATATTAATAGTTTTTGGTGCTGATCCTTCTTTTAATAACAAATGGCTGGTGAATCCCATGTTGCAGGGTAGGTTATTGTATTAATCACAGTCTCTTTAAGGCAAATCATTTCACTCAGTGGCCATGTTTGAAACGGCTCTCAGGCAGTATGCTTGGGCATTCTGTTAGAACAGGGAAACATCAAATTCTCCAAAACTACTTGTCAAGCTTACAATTACATTTCATAAAATTAAACAATTGCGATCGCTGACTGGCTACTGTAATAGAATTCAAGCTTTATTCATTATATAGCGATCGCTGACTGGCTCCTGTACTAGAAGGCGGGGCTTTATTCGCCATATTGACAGTTACACTTTTCCCCATTCAAGTCTACAAGTGACATGTCTTGTGTATTCTATAGTCTTTGTTAATTATCAAAATAAATGAAAGGAACAAACACAGCACAGGGTTGGCTTGGCTAAACAGTGGTCTGTGATCAGTGCGATCAGTGCGATCATGCATCTTCATATCATGATGCAATCCCACCCCCCACACTTTGCTAGCATTTGAAGGGAAAGGCAGGTTCGAGTTTTCCCGGGACCATGTTTGGCAATGTTTTGATATCAATACAATATCAAATAGACTTTTTAAAAGAATCAACAGTTCTAAACATGGTGCACTTTCAGATTTAAAAAATCACTTAGGGAAGTTTATTTATAAACTAATTTCGAGAGGATCAAGTGCTTATGATTGCTTGAAGTCGGTCCAACATTATCCAATATATGATTCACCAATCAGACAATTCCTAAGCCACTATATAAACCCTAAGTTCCATATAACAGCCATCTTCGTTTTGAAGAATCCCCTCCTTCCACCCCTACTCCTCCATTCCTATATGGGTGGCACGGTGGCCCAGTGGTTAGCACTGTTGCCTCACAGCAAGAACATCACTGATTCTAGTCCTTACCAAGCCAGCCGACGTTTATGTGCAGAGTTTATACGTTCTCCCCATGCTCCCCTGGTTTCCTCCCACCATCCAATTACATCCAACTTATGTTAACATTAACTTATGTTAATTGGCTAATCCAAATTGGCACCATAGACATGCTCCTAGTAAGTATTTATCTCTTAAGAGCAATCACTATCTGTTCATTAGCTACTACAGCAGGGGAGTTCTTGAGATCTTCCTGAGCTTAAACTCCCCTCTCGCTTTGCAAACGGCTCGAGGATTTTATGAGCTCAGGGCTCTTTCATGGGACAGCATGCCAAACAAGCTTTATAATCAATCATCAGCTAAGTGTGAACTCTTGAAGAGATGTGTTACACACTGCATGGAAGGTCATTTTCAAAACCCGTAATAGGGGATCTTTAATAATAAGAATCATAATATTAATAATAATAAAACATTTTCACACTTCATCTGACTTACAGGCTTTTCTTCAAAGGATGTAGAATAATTTCTCTCTTTGCTCTCTTCTGTGGCAGCTATAATGAAAAATCCATAGACATACAAAGTTATTAATAACTGTTTAACTATTATAAATTGTCATCTGTCACAGGTCACCAATACCTAAAACCAAAATATAATCTCAATACTATTCTAAACAATAAAACGCTTTTTTTTGTTGTAGTTTTTTTTTTACATACCACTGCCAGCAGTGGCTAGATTTTCAGATAGTTGCTCTGATGATAAAAACGATCTTTCTGTCATGGCTTGGTCTCCATCTGGACCCTAAAGCACAGTTAAAAAAAAGAAAGGGTCTGTCAAAACATCAGCTTGAACCAGATTTATTAATTCTTGGAAATTGTAAAACAGATCTCTCACTTGTGTTTTAGTATTTTAAACAGTTTAAATGCATTTTCTTTAATTGTATGTCTTCTATTTCTCTGATTTACTATATTTTTTACCTGTACACTTGTACATTCATTGGTAGAGGCTTGACTCTTCTCAGAGGAAGATCTGTTGGAGAACGCTATAGACATAGAGGATGTGGCTGCTCTGCTGCAGTCAGGGGTTTCAGGCTTTGTTTCCTCTTCTAACTGGCCAGTGTCACACAAATTGCTAGTCTTCTGCCTGGGCTTAGGCCTGGGTGACACATCTTGAAGTAGACAACCTGTTTACATAAAAAGGTGTTTTATTTGTTGGTTTCTGACATATGGGTGATTTTGCTGGTAAATATCATGCAACCTTCATCAACTTTTCAAAAGTACACTAGTTGTTCCTGGGTCGAAATGAGATAAAGGTGGTATCCCGATCAAAAAAATTGTTGCTACTTACAAAAAAATACAGTTTGCATTATTCTTGTAATCCTATCAATAAATGGCGGTGGCCATTTTTTTGTAAAAAGTCTCTTATGCTAATCAAAGCTTGATTTATTTAAAACAATAATACAAATAATACAATATTACTAAATAATAATAATATAATAACAATATATTATTTTAAATGTATAGCAGGCAGTATTTCAGTTTTCAGTGTCACAAAAACTTTTTAGAAATCTTTCTAATAAAGTGATTTGGTGCTGAATAATCACTTACAATTATTATCATAATATATAAATATTTGAAAGAAAAGTAAAAATGCACAAAAGCACGCACATCACTATAAATGGGTGCTCAGCCAAACAGCAAAAATTGCAAAATAGATTTTAAAAGGTGACAATACCAAACCTGCAAAAATGAATGCAACAAAGAAATAGAACAAAATATAGCTAAAAAAAAAAAAAAACTTTACCAAAGAAAAAAACATTCTGTCACCACTTTACAATACATAGAGATTGGACTTAATAAGTGTCCATGTCGAGGGTAAGATCTTAATAAATTTTTGTTACAACATGAAGCGTTTTGGATTTTTACTCTAGATATATTGTCTCCAAGAGGTTTAAATGAGTTTGATATTCGTTCTTTTCTTTAATGTTTAATTAGTTGTTTGGGTAGTTTTTTTGGCTGTATTTTGTTGTATTTCTTTTTTTATATTCTGTTTGTATTATTAGGATTTGTTTTTGTATTTTCGTTTTGAATATGTAAGTTGTGTAATATACTAATGCGTATTTTTACATTTTTTGTTGTGAGATACTGTTTGAGATCATGTGATCCGTTGTGTATAAAAAGAGTGTATAAAAAGAGTAACTTGCTATGATGAATACTGTTTGATAAAAAGCCGGTGTGCTTGAAACGCTACACACTTTGTGATAGCATTTTTAATTTAAAAAATCTTATTTTTTTGCTTTGATGTTACCGCCGTTTGAAAATAAAGAACAAAAAAAGAAATAAAGGATTCTTTAATTCAGCAAAACTACATTCAATTGTTAAACAGTGATCGTAAACACTAGTCATACTGTACAAAATGATTTTAAATTATTGAAAAAATAAATGCTGTTCTATTGAAAAAAACACACAAACACGGTTGAAAACTTAATTTTAAATAAAAAAATTAGCAAAATTTTAAAATGTCTGGTCTAACCTGCTGACGATTTTGATTTAACAGTTCTTTCCCTGGGTTGAGGAACAGGCACTTCATCATCTTTCTCAATCTTCTGGTTGTCTTCATGTTTTTCTGAAGGCAATGGCACTGGACTGTCCCACTGTGAGCCTTCTGATGTAAAAGGTATGGACGAATCCCACTGACTGTTCTCAGAGTTTAGTGGCAGTGGAGATTCTGATAGGCTCTTCCTCACCATAGAAGATTCTGTCTGGTTCCTCAGCCGCACTGCTGATTTCGACTGTTCATCATTCTTGAGTAAAGTGGACTCAGGTAGATATTTATCAGATAAAGAGGAAAAAGGGGAATCTGACTGTTGATTTTTCTCTGGAGTGTAAGAGTTGCTTGGGCTTTGAGATGAATTCCTGGGCTGGCTGGAATGAACAGAACTACACTGGCCGTCTGCACTTCCCGCTGAGTTTGACTGTTCAAAGTGTAGAGGTGAGCTGGTCCTTTTGGTTTTCATGAAAGAGACTTTTTTGGGTTTGACATTTTCCTCTTCATCATCTGAAAGCTTGAAATCATTGATTTTGCCCTTTGTCTTCCCAGCTTTAAATCTCTCCTTTTTTTGTTTTTGTGTTTTAATGAGTGTGTTGAGTATATCTGTGGAAACAATTCCAACATTTCTATACAAGGTAAAAACAATGTGCAAAGCTTAAATATTTACACACACACACACACACACACACACACACACACACACTATATATATATATATATATATATATATATATATATATATATATATATATATATATATATATATATATATTCATTAATTCATTCATTTTCTTTTTGGCTTAGTTGCTTTTTTTAATCTGGGGTCGCCACAGCGGAATGAACCACCAACTTATCCAGCACATGTTTTACACAGCGGATGCCCTTCCAGCTGCAACCCATCTCTAGGAAACATCCATACGCATTCATTCACACTCATACACTACGGACAAGAATTTACGGAACCAGTTCACCTATACCACGTCTTTGGACTGTGGGGGAAACCGGAGCACCTGGAGGAAACCCACGCAAATGCGGGGAGAACATGCAAACTCCACATAGAAATGCCAACTGAACCAGCAATAAGTCATTTGTTATTTTTTGTAACTTTCAGATAGAGTGCAGTTGTAAAAAAAACATGATTTATGAAAATTACTATTTTGTTTTTGTAATTTTTTAGAAATTATGTATGGAGCAGTCAGTTTAAAGAGAACATTGCAACAACAAGAAAAACAACTCTAAAAACGGTGGTTATTTTTAATTTAATATTATTATTGTTTACTAATTAATTGTTCATATGTCGTGTAAGATAGTTGGACAAACTCATTTAAGGTAAGGTAAACTGCATATACGTACCGTCGTCATCATCATCACTTTTAACTTTACAGTCTTCATCGTCATCATTTTCAAAGTCATCAGAATAACTATGCCTGCTTGCTCTAGCAGACACAGCTTTCTTTAGCTCATCCTAAAATTCAAAAACAACAATATGTACGTATAATGCGTCTTTATAACAAAGTATGATGTTTCTGACTAGCGCGTTAAGGTTATGTTAACTTACCTGAAAAGTTGTTCTTCTGGGTGTTTTGGGGCTTTTTGTGTAAGCAAGCGTTGTGGAAACAGGTTCGTCGTCCATCTTATCAAACACAATGTTTCAATAAGACAATTTGTTGTATAACGTAACAAAGAAACGTGCTCGTTAGACGTTTAAACACCAAACATTCAAATAAATAAATAAAAAACCTACCGTAGCTCCCAAAGAAACGAGAGGTTGCCACTGTTTTCAGCTCATCATGGACGCCATTTGTTTATGCGAGTTACCAAAGCAACAGCCGGATAAGCTTACGAAACCTACTACGATAAAGGCTGAGCTTCACCGAGGGCGTAGAGATGTTTTATTGTACGCTTCCTGTCGATTCCTATGGCAAACCGTTTTCACATTAAATACCGAAGCTTACCAGTTAATCGACATCTAAAATTATCAACAGAATATATGGAGCTAATATTCAGGTATGGATTATATTTTATTGTTAAAGAATTTTAAATATTTTTAGCTGGGCGATGCTTTTAATTTGTTTTGCCCTACGTTAACGTTAGTGGTCCAAATACTGTATCAGAAAGTAACAAATCTCTATTATAATCACGTTAAAACATAAAATTCTAATAGTATCAAGGTTGTGAAGATAGTAAAACTTTCTAAATTCAGGAGTAACGCAAAAGTCCACATTACGGCTATTGTCATTGATGAAATACCATCAATATATGCTTTAAATTTTTAAATCATTGTTTTTCATAGTACTTTTGTTTTTACTATGTATGTCAGTGAATGCTTTTCCCCAACATTCTTCAGAATATCTATTTACGTTTAATAGAAGACAGACGTTCATAAAAGCTGAGATAGAACCACTTGAGTGTGAGCAAATTGTGATTTATATAATGGCCACCAGAGGGAGGTAGACATCGTAAAATGTTCCTGCATGAACTGAACATCAACATTTAACAGAGCTCACTTCAAGGTCAAGGGCAATGAAAAACGACATGCACTTTCTTGTGTTTTAATTCGCATTGATAAAACTGTTTTGTTTCAGGTTTTATCATGAATATTATGCTTTTTATTTTACTGCAATACAAAAGACGGTCTTGTTTAATTTTTAAACACTGCTTTCTATATTAAGTCATATGAATCATTCTTTCAAGCCAGTGGTCCATGTTTCTCTACCAATGTTATTGTGAGTATTTACATTTTTTGTAATATTCTTTTTCCTTTTTTTACTCATCTGTTCATTTATTTATTTGTCGGAAGTACTGTCTAATATTAATCACAACTGTCATCAGCTGTGTGTACATAGCAGCTGTTTAAAACACTTACATAAACTATTATACTTCAAAATTATTTCATTAGATCAATAATAATGTATCTGATTAGAATAGAACATTAACAAAACAACAATGTAACGAAATACTGAAACAATAAATAAATAAATAAATAATAAGAGACTACTTCTAACTTATTATTCTAACTGCACTGTAAAAAAGTTGACTAAACTCAAAGTTGTAAGCCAGCTTGCTGCAGAGCTTTTTTGAGTTCACTCAACTTTCAGCCCAAGTACTACACTTGACTCGATTTAAAGAGCCCATATTATACATGAAATAGGGTCATATCTTGGTTGTAAGGGTCTCCAACAACAGTTTAATATGCATGCAAGGTCAAAAAACACTTTCGTGGTCTTATAATCTGCATTTATTTTTACCTAATTATTCCAGCGACTCCTGTATGAATCGTCCAGTGATTCATTTGTTCCCAAACCCCTCCTTAGCGCGAAGCTAATCTGCGCTGATTGGACCGATGACAGTCTGTCGCGATTGGTCGACTGCCTTCAGTCAGAGAGTGAAATGCCAAACAGCTAATCAGCAATATAAAAGTAATCACAGTTCATACACGCTCGATGGTGTAGGCATGGAGTTTAGCTGCCAGTGGGTCAATGTAAATACAGACTATGGACTTGAAAATACAGACGACTGACTATTTTATTGAGCAAAAACTCCAAAAGCAGTTGAGGAGATCTCCTAGCTTCTCACTCTGCTCTTTTCACAGACACACACACACACACACATATTGCACAAACACACACACGCACTTAACCCTGCTCCGGACGACAACGCGCGCGCACACACACACACACACACACACACACACACACACACACACACACACACCTCCGGACGACAGCGTGCGCACACACAGACACACACAATACTCCCCGTCCACGGAGCTCCGTTAACGCAGCACGCGTCGCGCTTTTAACGTGACTTTGCACGCGATAAGAGAATATAGCCAGTTAACCTGATACAGTACACGCGGTTACAAGTAACAAATCACAACTAAATACATTTGCAAGCTAGAGTCAACGAGGCAACTTTAATCGCACGTACTTACACTTGAGAAATGGAGGAAGAAAAATCCATCCTGACGTCCATCAATAAGTAACTCTTTACTGATCCTTCCTTTAACAAACGCTGATGAAGTATTCTTTGTAGCATGTAGCTTCCAGAAGTTTCCAGTAGTTTCCAACTGCTTGGCTATAATGCTGAGGTTTCATCTTTGGGTAGAGACTCGATATATCCATCTGCAGTGTGACTCCAATCGACCGGCATGTTTGTGTGTGCGTGTGTTTGTGGGTGTGTGTTTGTGTGTGTGTCTGGGTTTCTGCGTCAGAGGGCGGGGCCTCAGGTTTGAAATCTCCCGGGTTTGCGCGTGCACGTGAATAACTTGGTTTCGTTCGTACGTCATGGCGAAACACCTAATGAATCGGTATCAAGGCGATTCGTTTGAAGCACTATGAGTCGACTCTTTTATAGATGAATCAACCGTTTTAAACACTGTACACTAACAGATTTAAGCCTTAGCTGGATACTTCACTTCACTTAGAGCTGTGTTACACAATACATGGAGGGGAATTTTCAAAAACCCATAATATGGGCTCTTTAAGTTGAGCCGACTCAAAAAAGCTTTGCAGCAATTTTAAGTTGAGTCAACTTTTTTACAGTGTGGATTTGTCATATATAGGGTTATATGTCCTATATAAGTATATAGTTGTCTATATAAGTAAAATGTTCATTTGTGTTTAATTTGATAAGGAACATATGACATGTTTTCAAAATGAATGTAATTTAAACCAGTTATTTGCAGAAAATGACAAAATGCTTAGTACAAATAAATCCACTTTTCAGTGTATATTCACATATTCACAAATGTTCATATACAGCATGTATCACTATTACTTTGATTAAAAGGGTGAGCGAAACTTGTAACTTAAAACTGTTCAGTTGACATTATTTTATAATTTTGCACATTTATTAAATTATTTTAAGGAAGCAGGTTTATTCATTTTTTAAGCCAAGTAATCACTTTTGAAAGCAATGGGTTACACATATGAAAAATGTGCATGTACAGTTAAATTCTATTTTTTTATTAATTTATTTTATTATTATTATTTTAATTAGGTAATGGCCACAGACAATATTGCTTGATTTACCTACAACCTTTCAATAACAAGTCCACTTCTCTATAACCATTAGGCCACAACTTTCAACAAAGTGAAGACATTTTCAAAGATACTAGTTTTAATAACTATTTAATTTCTAATAACTAATTTCTTTTGTCTTTGCCATGATGAATATTTTTCTTATTATTTTGTAAGGCACACTAGGCAAGTTAAGTTTATTAGGCAAGTTTTTGTATAACAATGGTTTGTTTTGTAACGAATTGGAAAAATAAATACTTAAAGAGGCTAAAGAATTGAGCTTACATCTTAAAAAGTTTTGTTTTTAAATTACAAACTGATTTTTATTCTAGCCAAACTAAAATAAATAATAAGAAAAAAATAATATAGGAAATACTGAAAAAACTTCCTTTGTCTGTTAAACATCACTTGGGAAATATTTGACAAGCAATAAAAATTTTACAGGCAGGCTAATAACTTTGATTTAAACTGTGGGTGTGTGTGCAAACACATTTTTCAACAACCTGATGCAAATTCAGATATTTTCCCATTAAGAGTTGCATTTGTTTTGTTTCTAGAGTTCTTGTCCTGTTAACAGGAGTGCCCATTATCTGACCCTGAGGCATTCATTGTCCCTGCTTTCAGTGAGGTTCTGGTCAGTTGGTGGCGACTCATGCGTGAACATGAAGTCACAATTTGAGTCTAATAAAACTTTGCAATCTCTTACTGAAATACAACAATAGAATAGAGCTTGTATAAGGAGGAAAAAGCTAAGACACAGCATAGGGTTAATATCATGCAAATATATAATCCAGTCACATTTAAAGGGCACCTATTTTACCTCTTTTACAAGATGTAATATAAGACTTTGGTGTCTCCAGAATGTGTCTGTAAAGTGTCACCCATCGGATCCTTTATTATATAGCGTAGAATGTGCCCATTTTGCTGTCTGATGAAAATGTAGCTGTTTTTTTAGCCTGTGCCTTTAAATCCAAATGAGCTGCTTCTCACCACCCACTGCTCCAACATGCATGTCTCCTTCTAATGTATTATATCAGATAAACAGCACAGTGATAGAGATAGACATGGATGAAGCTGAAATATGGTCATTGCTGAAATTTAACTGTCTTTATTACACCCATCCTCTGTTTTAAAAACATTTTAAACTCATCAAATTAATTATTTCTTGAGATGCAGCTGATCACAGAGATTTTTAAAATATTTTCAAATTAATTAAATTCACCCTTATTGGTAAAGTGCTTTTACAATGTAAATTCATTATGTAGAAAGCAGCTTCACATAAAAAATCATAGTAAATTGGAACAGTGTAGTTCAGTATTTAGTGTTTAAGTTCAGTTCAGATCAGTTCAGTTCAGTTCCGTGTGGTTTAATAATCACTACTGAGGGCCTAAACACTGAAGAGCAGATCCATCGATGCGTAGCTCTACTAATCCCAAACCATGCAAGCTAGTGGCGACAGCAGAGAGGGAAAAAAACTTCTCCAATTGGCGAAGGTGAAGAAAAAAAACTTTGAGAGAAACCAGACTCAGTTGGGAACAACCATTTCAATTTCTCTGCTGGCCAAACGTCCTGTGCAGAGCTGCAGTCTCAGCAGGCGGAGGCTGGAAGCTGGGCCTCAGCGAAGACTCATCTGTCCCTGGAGCCTCACAGGAATCAGTCTCATGCTCTCCAAGCCTCCATGACCACCACAGCAGCTGCTCAGGATACGGCCTGGTCATGGATATGGAAACCTTGGAATCATCCCATCACTGGTCTTGGATCGAATCAGTGACTCTGCCTAGTCTGAGGACCTCGGGAAGAGTATCCC